TTTTAGGTTTGCTATTTATTTAAATATTTTTAACAACTAATGATATATATATATATATATCTTTATCTCATTGCAAAGTTAATTATTTTTTTCTTATAATAAATCATGCAGAGGATATAGAAAGTAATAATAAATGTGAAAAAGATTGAGAGGTAAGATAAAATAGTGCAGTACTTACATGGCTCACTATGATTTTTTGAGGTTTTCTTTGTTTTCCATTTCTTCTTATAAAAACGTGTCTTATCACTCATAATAACATCTAATAATAAATATATAGTACGTAACAATAAAATCTACAGGTTGTCTCTAACTTCTAATCTATATACATATATCTAAAAAAGTAATTTATTCTAATTTTAATTTTCGAAACATTCCTATAGGTATAAAAAAAATTCAATTCATTACATTTTTATAAAAATTCTAAGTTAAGTCCTTAAACGTTTTCTTCTTAATCTATAACACTGTTGAATATATATTTACCTAATAATTATCATATATGTTATACTACTATATAGTCAGTCGTCCTATGCTATCTATAAAGCCAATGGTACGTGATGTTTCTTTTTGTGCTGAATTATTTGCTGGACGGAAATACTGCGTTTTGATTGATGTATTGTCATCCATTTTTGAAAATGCACCAATCAGAAAGCAGTATTTCTATCCAGTAAGCAATCCAACATGAAAACAAACATCATGTGTCGCTGGTTTAAGAGGAGGCTATTTCAGAAACAAAGGACAAATGATTATATATATATAATCTAAATAATAAATCTAAATATATATATAATATATATGTAATATTACTATATAGCCAGAGTGAAAGAGAAATCTTGTCTCGCAACTACGGTGCAGGAATATATTTTCCCCTCTTTCTGAGTGTATTGTGAACGTAATGCGCATACGTCGGGTTCATAGGTCTGTTCATTTTCGCTGCACCGCTGAACTATGCAATAAGTTGAAGTGAGAAAACATTAACTTGTCTCGCTTCATTTGAACTAGTTCAGCGGTGCAGCGAAAACGAATAGACCTCTATATACTTTCTCGCTTCAACTTATTGCATCACTTCAGCAGTGCAGCTATAAAGAACAGGTCATGTATGTTTTTTCATTTCAACTTATTGTACCAGTTCAGCAATGCAGCTAAAAAGAATAGACCAATTACTACGTTGTACAATCGTTTTGCATCTTCTTCTATTCTTCTTCAAATTAAGTTAAACTTTCCTTTAGATTATTTTTTAGATTATTTTGCAAATATCGCAGTTTAAACTTATCTTCAGTTACAACATATCAAAGCTTTATTTTCACGCAACTGTTCGTTACATACAGAAATAATAGTTACCAGGCCTAAGCCTCGATCTAGAATAGATGCTTTAAGCTCTAAGCCTTAAAAATGGAACACTCATAGTCGAACTATAGAAAAAAAATCAATTATGATTGGTCAATTTGTTAAATCTCACGCCTTAAATTCTTATTATAGAACCCGCTTAATCCAGCACGAAACAAGCATCGTGTGCCGCTGACTTTAAAGTGAGTGACTTCTAGTGAGACAATTGGTGAAATTTTGTTGCGTGACTATTGGCCACAGAACTGCTTCTCCCGCCCAAATCTGGAAACTTTTGGCGGCTGTCAACCTGCGCCTTTTACAAATGTCGCTCTGGCAACAAATTGGAGGAATGTTTTCGTTGTACTCCGTAAAAGAAATCTTACTTTTCTCGATTTTGCCTTCAAATAACGTTAGTGCCAGCATGTTCGTCTGATTTTCTGCCGCATCATGTATATCAAACAGGTAAAACAAAATCATCATCTTTTTCCATTGTGCTCTATGCGCTACTCCAATTCTCAATGCACGCTCACATTCCCCATTTCCTTTATTTCGAACATTTAAAATCAAAAAGAAAATGTTAAGTATGGAAAAATAGAAAACGAAATTAATGTATAAAAACAAGATTGTCCCGCAAAATTCAGGAAATTTTACTTAGCCTTATATTCATCTCAAGCCTAGATTTGTCAGATAACCTCAAACTGAACATGTTTTATGGTACCTTAATTATGAATACATAAAAATTTGCTGTCAGATACACTCTATAATGTTAAAATGGTTCCAAAATTTAAAAAATTTGCAAAGTTTCTTTGAAGTATTAATGAAGTTGTTATCATGAATAGAGGAAACAGTTTTCTAAATTATTTTTATATCATTTTTATGAGAAAATCGGAGATAAATGATAATAATGGAACATCTATGTCTAGTGTGATAATTAAATAGCTTATAACTTGTATATCTTATATTTTATTATAATAATAGCTTCTGTGTGATATAGATGTACTTGAAATTTATTTCTTATAAATTAGTGATTTGTGTTAAAACAGGTGATTATTCAGGGGTTTAAGTCCTATCGTGAACAGACAGTTGTCGAGCCATTTGATCCAAGACATAATGTAGTAGGTATGTGTTTAAACATTTCAGCGAACTGTCTAGAGTTAAGTCTCTTATATAAGTAGATACATAATTAAGTTTTTTTCTTTTTAAGTTGGCAGAAATGGTTCTGGCAAGAGTAATTTTTTTTATGCCATCCAATTTGTCCTAAGCGATGAATTTTCCCATCTTAGACCAGAGCAAAGACAGGCGCTGTTGCATGAGGGAACAGGACCTCGTGTTATATCTGCCCACGTAGAAATCATATTTGACAACTCCGATGGCAGATTACCAGTAAGCTATTAAATTAGCTAAAATTAATAATGAAACAATATATCATACACTTCAGTATATTTTGTATACATTTTAATGTTTATTATTTGTTGAAATCACTGAGCCATTGAAATATATATTATATTATTATATATAATATATTCATGTATATTGTAAAATGTTTTCTCTTCCTCAGATTGATAAGGATGAAGTATACTTAAGAAGAGTGATTGGTTCCAAGAAGGACCAATATTTTCTTAACAAAAAGATAGTGACGAGGAATGACGTAATGAATTTATTGGAATCGGCGGGATTTTCTAGGTCCAATCCTTATTATATTGTGAAGCAAGGAAAGGTTTGTCAATGAAAATCTCTGTATTTGCCTATAACAGTTTCTATGCATAGTTCTTACTTATTACTTGAAATACTTTTGTTCGCAGATAAATCAAATGGCAACAGCTCCAGATTCTCAAAGATTGAAGTTATTGCGAGAAGTTGCAGGTACTAGGGTGTACGACGATAGGAGGGAAGAGTCGAAATCGATTTTGAAAGAAACAGAAGGCAAATTGGAGAAGATTGAGGATTTTCTGCGAACGATAGGTGAACGAAAATCTAAGTTAGAAAAATGGAGCATAAATGAAATACAAAAGATAACTTTTATTTCATCACAGAGGAACGTTTGAAAACGCTTGAGGAAGAAAAGGAGGAGCTGAAAGAATACCAACGCTGGGACAAACAACGTCGTTGCCTGGAGTATACGATCCATGAGCGCGAACTCAAAGAGAATAAGAGAAAATTGGAGGAACTCGAGGAGTCCCGAGCAAATAGCGGAGCTGAGCAAGCGAGACTGGGAGCGGAAGCAAAAACCGCGCAGGAGAATGTACGTTCAGCTACGAAGCGCCTGAAAGAATCGAAGAAGGAAGTGCAGAGCGCCAAGGAGGAAAGAGATACTCTTAGGTATATTTTACTCTTAGATTTTTTTTAAATCCTTACAGAAAATAATGCTTACTTAAACGTTTATGGCTTGCAGCGCGGAGCAGCAACAACTGTTAAAAGAGAAGACCAAATTGACTTTAACTATCAACGATTTATTGGAGGAAGTAAAAGGTGATAATGACAGCAGGAAACGTGCTCAACAAGAGTTGGAAAAGCTGAAAGGCAATATCGCTCTTCGAGAAGATGAGCTGAAATCAATTAAACCAGAGGTGAGGAAACATTCAAGCATTTCTTCGATATATACGTGTCAAAATTTATAGATATATTAAAATAAGGAACACTTAATTACAGTACGAACGAATGAAACGCGTCGAAGAGGAATGTACGCGAGAATTACAACTAAAGGAGCAGAAACGTAAAGAATTGTATGCTAAACAAGGCCGTGGCAGTCAGTTTACTACTAAAGTAAAACAATTTAAACATGCAATTATATAATAAAATTTAATATTTTTATTATAACTATTCGTAAGCATCTTTTGATAAGATATTTCTAAATGTCTCATTTATCACAGGATGAAAGGGATAAGTGGATACAAAATGAGCTTAGGCAACTTACGAAGCAGATAAAGGATAAAGAGGAGCATCAGAAGAAGATTAGCGAAGATTTAAAACGCGACGCAGAGAAACAAGTAATTTTGGAGAAAAAAATAGGAGATCATACGCGCGAAATGGAACGACAACGTACATCGATAGATGACCATAACAAGCAATTTTATGAGCTCACTAAATCGAAGGATCAATGTCAAGCAAATCGAAAAGAACAGTAATTTTCTTTTTATTGTGATCAGCTCATTAAGTTACGAAATCATTTGCACAAGCAATAAGCATAATATTTAGTTACATTTTTGCTTTTTTCAATCAAAATCTTATGTTTAAGTTTAGAAGATTTTTGTATGCAAAAATATCAACCAGTTTTCTAGTCAAGTATCAAAATTAAACACGAATATAATGTATTTGACTGCAAATTTTAGAGACCACTCTTTAAGGTTGAATAAGTTGTATATATGAAAATTAATTAGTCTGAAACATTTGATTAAAATATTAAACGTACTGAATTACAGATATCGACAAGAGAGTGTACTGCAACTGAATTTGTCTGGTCTAAAAGAAGATCTGGCTAAAGCGGACCAGAGTCTGAGGTCCATGGCTGGTAAACCTATTTTGAACGGTAGAGATAGTGTGCGCAAAGTATTGGACACTTTTCGGTAAGATTTATTCGAATATTTATGATATAGTGTAATTAATAATGCATAAAATTAGTAATTATGTCTTCATTTCGTCAGTACCCGGAAGGACATGGCCCACGAAGTGAGCAGTTACTACGGGCCTGTAATTGAGAACTTCAATTGCGACAAGAGTGTTTATATGGCGGTAGAGGTAACGGCGGGAAATCGATTGTTCCATCATATTGTGGAGACCGATAAGTTCGGTACGAAAATTTTGAAAGAGATGAACAATCAACGTTTGCCGGGTGAGGTAACCTTCATGCCTCTGAATAGACTTCACGTGAAGAATATCGATTATCCGCAAACCTCCGACGCTATACCCATGATATCCAAGCTAAATTATGATCCGAAATATGACAAGGCGTTAAGGTAAAATTCGCCTTTTACGATTCTTCCTTCGTCATAATACCGAGACGTATTAATATATATATATATATATATATATATATANTATATATATATATATATATATATATATAATGGGATTTTTGATATATGTTTATTTCAGATATATATTTGGAAAAACTTTAATCTGTCGTAACTTGGAAGCGGCAACGAGCTTGGCGCGAACATCCGGTCTGGACTGCGTTACATTGGAGGGAGATCAAGTTTCATCCAAAGGCTCCTTGACTGGTGGATATTTCAATACACTTAGGTCGCGTCTTGAGATACAGAAAACAAGGTCGGAGTTGATGTCTCAGATTTCTACCCTCGAGACACAATTAACGACACTTAAAGAGGAGATCAGAAAGGCGGACCAAAACATTAGTTCTTATGTCAGCGAAATGCAGAGGACCGAAACTAGAAATAGTAAAGCTAAGTGAGTAATTTAGTGGTATTCGTCAGGCTCTCCTGTTGTATAACTTAAAACGATTTCCAATTGTATGTACATTTGGGTCTCTTTTTATACGGTATTTTTTATACGATTCACAATTACACAATTTTTTTAAACACGTTTTATTCACATTTACACGTTTTTTTGTAAAATATTTTTTCATTTTTCCCAACATATTAGCTTTCTCTTTATTTGTTTACTAAATAAAATGTTTTCGATGAATGAATTTCTGTATTTTAAATTGCTTTTTAGTTTAAAATTTGCGTTACTTTAACACAAGTTTTATACTTTGTTGCAAATCAATTTTTACACGACTTTTTTTACATGATTTTTTTTCTGCATGGTACGCATCCACCGTGTAAAAAGAGATCTAAGTGTATTTGAAGTGTTATGTTGGAGTATCAATAAGTATCGGAATATTAATTAGCAATCTGTTTTGTAATAGGGATATATATGACAAGATGAAGGCGGAGATACGTCTTATGAAGGAGGAATTAAGCGCGATAGAAAGGTACCGGACGCCGAAGGAAAGAAGTCTTGCACAGTGTACATCTAGTTTAGAAGCGATGCGTGCGACTAAGGACGGCCTGGAGAGTGAATTGCATCAGGAACTCATGGCGCAACTATCCGTCGCGGATCAGCATCAGGTATATATACAATAGAGTCGAGTCGGATTAGATTTCTCTCCAACCAATTTTTCTCAATGACATATTGAGATCACCATTTATTTCTTCTTTTTACTTTTGAGTTGATTTTGAAAAGAATCGGTTATTCTAAGAATTAATTGGATTTTTAACTCGTTTCTGATGAACGATGTTTGCGCAGGTCGATACTCTGAATGACGACATAAGGCGTCTAACGAAGGAGAACAAGGAAGCGTTCGCGAAGCGAATGCAGTTGGAGGCGGAGAAGAATAAGTTAGAAAATTTATTAACGAATAACTTGGTGAGAAGGAAAGACGAGCTTGTTCAAGCTTTACAAGAGATATCGGTCGAGGATCGCCAACGGCAGCTCGACTCATCGAAGATCCAACTGGCGGACATAGAAAAGAGGCTGGTGAAAGTGAACGAAGACTTCAAAGCGCAGAATGAAAAAGTAACAAGTGCAATGAAGAAGGTAAGTCAGACGTTCGTCAATATTATACTCTATCGCGTAATACTCTGTCTGTATATTTTTAAGCGGAAACGTTTCTTCAATCATTTTTTCTTCGCATTTAGCAAAAAGCGGAGTCTGCCGATGTGGAGAAGTGGAAACTGAAAGAAAAGGAGGCGCAGGAGAAGATAGAGGCCGATGCGAAGGATTTGGAGAAACTGGCGAGCAAAGTGAATATCCTGCAACAGAAGATAGTGGAATGTACGCAGAAGATCACCGAACTCGGCGCGCTGCCTAGTCATGAGGCTTATTCTAAGTTTAGCACAATGACCACGAAACAGCTTTTTAGAGAGATGGAAAAGGCAAATAACCATTTGAAGAAATACAGGTAAGTTTAGTAAACCGATCACTTTCGGCGGTAAAAATATAACTTAAGGATTGTATATTTTTATTATATTATAATATATATTTAATTAAATATCCCTCGTAAGAAGTTGTATTATGAGATTCTTCGTCACATTCGCTTGTTTTCAGCCATGTAAATAAGAAAGCTCTGGATCAGTTCATGTCATTTAGCGACCAAAAGGAGAAATTAGTGAAACGGAAGGAGGAATTGGACAGAGGCGACGAGAAAATTAAAGAACTCATGTCGGTGCTTGAGCAACGCAAGTGCGAAGCGATACAATTTACGTTTAAACAGGTACTCAATCAATTCAAGCAAAAGAAAAAGATTAAATTTCGAAAAGACGTTAGACCTCAATATACTTGTCATACTTGTCCCTGAAAATGTGGCATTGAAAAATTTTGTATGACAATTTCACGTGAAACTTTTTTTTTTTTAAGGTGAGCAAGTATTTCAGTGATGTATTTAACAAGCTCGTACCTTCGGGCCACGCACAATTGGTCATGAAAACTGCGGATGGCGACGAGGAAGATGACGGAACAGCTGAGCCAGCCGATTCAGATAGGTTTATCGGCGTTGGTAAGATGATAAATCTATCATTTGTATACATTATGTGTACGGGAAGCACACACTTCGGCATAGCACATAATGCATGACGCATAAGAAGGTGAACCAATCAGGATCCGTCGTTTCGTGAGGATAGAAACATAAAACTCTGGTTTGTTATCTTATTCATCGCATGCTAATATATGCATAATTGCGTTATGCCAAAGTATGTGCTTCCCACTTATGGTTCCTCAAGAGTTTGTATACGTCGATGAACGTAATTATCGCTTTTAGGCATAAGAGTGTCGTTCACGGGACACAGGGCTGAAATGCGAGAGATGAACCAACTATCCGGCGGACAGAAATCGCTCGTAGCCCTGGCACTGATATTCGCGATTCAGAAATGCGATCCTGCGCCGTTCTACTTGTTCGACGAGATCGATCAAGCTCTGGATGCACAACACAGGAAAGCTGTGGCGGACATGATCCATGAACTTAGCTCGGACGCCCAGTTCATCACTACGACGTTCAGGTAATGCGGTGCAACTGGTCTTGCTAAGGTTCATTGAAAAATTTTAACCAAATTTAATTGAAAATTATATTTATGAGATTCATTGAAAAATTAAAATTAATTAAAATTAAAAACTAATATTGATTTGTCTCGGTCGCGTTCTTCGTGGATTTGATCCTGACAGTTTCAATCGGTTTCTCCAGGGAGAAGAGCAACTTAAAAATTTTTAAATTTTAGTTTGCTCTCCTTGTAGAAGTGAACTGCAGTGTTCACAGAGAGAGAACATAAGTCTATGAAGCATTTGACATTAACCCGAAAATCAAACCGAGCAGTTTTCGTGCAAGATTTATAAATATAACAGTTGATTTTATCCGCACGAATCAGACGCGAATCAACTTATATATTTTCTTGAAGAACGCAATATGAGAAATGATAACACGTAGGATTTTGTTTTTCAGACCCGAATTATTGCATCACGCGAACAAATTTTACGGAGTAAAATTCAGAAATAAGGTTTCGCACGTTGAATGCGTGACGCGAGAAGAAGCAGCCGATTTCGTCGAAGACGACACGACGCACGGTTAAGGAAGAATATACTTCTTTTATACATAGCGTTTACAGAAATCAATAATCGTTTACTTTTTCAAACGTGAAATGATTATACAAATCGGATAATTTTATCACTTTAATCCTCTGACGATTTTTAATCGTAGCTTTTTTTTTTTTAATATATCATGTACGAAATCATACGAGGAAAATGAAATAATTTGTTTTGTAGATTCGTTTTGATAGATCGGTATCGTAGATATTCGATTCTTTTGCATAGATCATTGTAATTTTGTAACATGCCAAAGAATCATGTTACGTTGCGTATTTCACACAAAGGGAAAAAAACTGCAACATGATTTTGATAACATTTGTCTCGACGAAAAATCGATATCGATATTCATCTTATAAAAACATTACGGAAAAAATCAGCACGATACAAATGTAATTTGGAGTTGAAACGTTATTTTTTATATTATATAAACTTTATAGGAATATATATATATATATATATATATATATAAAATTTTAACCAAATTATATATATAAAATATATATATATATATATATAATTACACACATACACACACAACACACACATACACACACACCCGAGAAGAGACATTTTCTACTCACAAGTAGAAAATGTTAACGTTATATTTATGTATTTTACGGTATATTATCCCTTTATTTTTGTATATCTATGAACTTGTATTTTTGTGTTGTATCTTGCAAGTAATCTCTCTCGGTAAGATATCTAAATTCGTGATAAATTTTAATTATTCACGTGACTTAATGTCGCGATAACGAATCGCCGCGTGAAGTTATTTACGTACTCGTTCGTGTCGTATTAAATTTGTATACATGACGTAAAAAAGGGAAAACTAAGAGAAAGACATACGCAAACAACTTCACCGGCAGCGCATGCAGGGTAGGCACAGTAAAAGAAATAAATGCATATGATAAATACTTGGTTGTTTGAAAAGAAAGGTTTATAATGTTTGCTTTGTTTAAGATGTATATCAATTACAATACACATCATCCTTGAATTTGTCCTTTCCTCATGACAATTATTTACATCGTTATGCACAAGATCGGGAGTATGAAAACATTGGAGACAGAGTTTGAAAGAAATTTGAACACCGAAATTGCGACGTACTGAGTTTTCGCGAATGAAAGAAACTATCATTCAGATTTGGAAACACTGTGCTACTTCTCCTTGCGTTGCGATGTCAGACTATCGTGCATGCTTGTCACAACAGTCTCTATCAGTTCTGGAATTACCACTCCGTTGACATCGATAAAGTTCGCAACAGACTTTGTCACAGTCGTTTCGTTGATGTTGCCCGATGACGCGCTCCTAACTGACAGAATTAGATTATATTTGTCATCATATTTCTTTAAGTAGGAGCTAGCTTCCCAGACCAAGTCAGGATTGAAGCCTGCTGGGTCTCTGAAATCGGGAAATCATTTCTTATCGAGTTGATCAGTCACTAAGTCAATTATTTTCTTTATTCCTTAAAATTATAATATGTCAAGTATAAATATATGCATACATATATATATATATATATATATATATATATATATATATATATACCTTACCTTTGAATTGCGACCACAAATATGCCCTTTTCTTTATAAGTTGTATACAATGTCAGAAGTCCCATTAAGATGAAATATAAGGAAACACAGATAACTAGAACAGGCTTAGAAACAGGGAATGGATATAAGTAATCGCATAACAATGCTATGATAGCTATTGTGACTGCGACCCCGCAGAGTGCTAGTCTTCCATCAAGGAGGGAGAAATTTTCAATATAGTTATATTTCTTTGTCAGCACATCTTTGACTGCATCGTCCAAGGCATTCTTCACGGCTGAACCATCCCATTTATTGATTTTTATGACCTATGAAGCAAATACTGTTTATTTAAAAAAAAAATAAAGAAAAGAGAAAAAATAAGAAAAAATGTTTCTTGCTACAAGTCTTTAAAAAAACAGGAAAATGTAAGTATATATTGAAGGCATTACATGTTAGAAAAAAAAATTATATGGATTTAATACTTCCATGAAGATACGATTGATAACAGTTAAAGCCGACTCCGGTTATTCGGAGCAGCATATGTGGAGATACAGTTGACATATTGCTGTCACGTAACTGACAAGTATGCAAATGTCTCGTTAGTTACACGCATTTCAACGCAATAAATATTTTCGTTACGGTATGCATTTTATGAAATAAGGTCACTTTTATTAGTTTTAATTAGAAGTGAAAATAAACTTACGGAATTCTCTACTGCGCCCATCTCGACCATAACCTGATAGCAAAACACGTATTCTCTTTCGAAATACACGTCAATTTATCGAGCCTGGCTACCAACATAACTTCATATCTTTCACAGTAAGGTTGTGTTCGGAAACATCACATTGAAAGTTAGAGTGGCACTTAATTGACCAATCAGGGGACTTATTATTGTCCTCAAAATTGGAGAGTCCCATTTGATACATTGCAATTGACCATCACCAATCACAGTCGGCCATGATTTGGGGATTTTCTAGAGTCGGCCAATCGGTGTAGCCTATGATCAATAGAAACATCGTTAATCGGTATCATCCCTTCCTCAAAACTTATAAAGAATTAAAAGTGAGTGACTTTCTCTCCCTCCTTAAATATTTGTAAAGAATGAAAAATGAGCGAATTTATTTACTAATATTTATAATTTTAGCGGTAAACCTTAATAAATTTGTTCACTTTTGTAATTCTTACCTCGTTTTGACAACCGTAGGTAGGTTTCCCCAGAATAAAAGAACTAAGATTTCTTTATCATGATTGGTCAATTAAAAGCCACTCTATTCTTGGTATATATTATTGAACTGATAATATTATTGAACGCAGTTTAAACGTAGTCAAATGTCCTTTGTAGGAAATAAAGCGCTCCTTAATTTGAGAGAAATTGAAATATCTAGCAAGCGTAAAACTTCAGGGTTCCTAAAATCACTGGAGATATTTAAAAAGCAAACAAATTGTATCTAGATATTCGTGTCTCGTGGCGGTAAACACAATCCTCTTCACTCGATTCACTAATTCATTCTTACCTTTTCTCAATCTACTCTATCACTATCTATCAGTCTTTTATATCTACCCATTAAATTCTTGAACTTAATGTTCAGTAAATCTTCTCTAATTTTCACGTTTCTTCCGCGGCTCGAATATTCGTATTATACTTTTTTCAATCCTACTACAGGATAGATCGTTTGTTCTCATTACAGCTATTAAAAAATCAATTTTTTATTTTACATTATCTTATGGATAGTTTACATTTACAGACACGCAATACATATACATCCAGCGATGGATTCAAATATTGGTACAGTGAAATTGCCATGATAAGATGGCTTAGTTTCAAAAAGATCATACGTTCTTTATGTTTTACCTCTGTCACTCATATTTCAAGTTAAATATTTATAAAATATTTCGCGATGCACCAATATTTTTCAGTTTTCAGCACAGTGTATATACACATACAAGATATGTATATGAACCTCTTAATATACATATTGCTTCGCTAATGCTCTTAAAAATTTAGCTTTCCGGATATTTGCCGCTTCTCTTTGGATTTCTTCATTGTTATTAGAGTTCAATTCCAGCAAGCCAATAACTTTGATCTGCAAATTAAAAGAAAAATACATGTAACAAACATTACATATAACAAAAATTTACGTAACATTGGGAACTGAAGTGAAAATTGAGAATGCAAAAAGAGAGAGATCGCGGTTAATATATAATACTTAATTACCGCAAGCTGTTTCCTGTGATGTTCTCCGCGCTTTGCATGTTGATGTACAAGATATTCGAGTATCGTGGTATCCCAAATACAATGATAATACGCGTCCATGGCGTCAGCGGTGGCACAGCTCTTTTGATCACTGGACGCCATTTTAAACGCCAAGGAGTAATCCACCTCTTCTAAAAACTGACACAGTACAGCTGCCTGAGTGTAACACTGCAAATGGGCGCAGCATTTGATCATTCTTCTATAAACAAGATCGTCTATCTGTGTCCGTAGTATGGGCTGGCTAAATAAATCACTGGCTACCATGATAGCCTTTAAGTAATATTTCATCGCGCTTTCATAATACGCTAGAACTAAAACAAAATAAAATTAAACACAGCACATTGGATATACATACATATGCAAGTACTGAATATAGCGTACGAGGACACAAATACTCACCGAAATTCAGATCGCCCATTAGCCTCAGCCAAAGTACGTTGCAGGGATAATATTTCAGAGCTTGCGCCAGTAGTTGGAACAATATTTCTCCGATATATCGGATATTGTACGAATTCGCACTGCAAACGATACAGCTAGAATGAGTTTTACTCAAATACCAGATACCGCCAGTTACGTTTAACACTAAAATGCATATGCAATATCGAAGCGGTCAAAATGACCGGTTTGTAATTTTTTTCTTATAAAAGTTACTCCAATTTCTAATAGTGCATTTTCTGAGATTAATCGTAATTTTCGTCGCAATGTGTAAACGAATAAATATTTTTTCCTTTATATTGTGTATTTCTTCAGAAATCTGATTTAAACCGTTCCGGTAGAAAGGTACACGTTGATCGTCGGTAGTTTTAATGTTAACATTTTCATTCTCAGTGCCGTAATGTACATTGCATAGTGTACTTCGCATAATATGCATAATGTAATGAATATTCTAAACTACATAAGAACTACAATCCACGTACTTTGGTACCCCGGCAGGCCAAAGGGAAAGATACTGAGTGTGCAATTCCAAACTAGATTCATCGCGCAATACATTTCGTAAACGTGCCAGCAATGATATCACTACGGTGAGCACCATAGGCTCGCGTAGCCGAGTAAAAGTAGTTGTAATACTGGTAACATCTCTCGATGCATTACTGCCGGAATTACCACTATTACCGCCGCTACTGCTGCTGCTGTTGCGTTTCTGCGACTGTTCCCTGCTAGGGCCGAACGCTGCTAAAACTAAGAGAACAGACATTCAGGTGTTTCACGATGTGAAACTATGCTTCTTCTTCAGTTCTCATTGTGTAAAGTAATTCGCGAGAGGTTTTTCACGTGAAATAATTTCATTGTTGAACAATTAATATTCGACGCATATGCAGCGGGAATGTTCGACTTTCGACTTTCGTTTAAGCTTCGTCTACAATGTGCTCTTTGCGTCTTCTTTCTTGCTCTCTATTTCTTTTTTGTAAGTAAATAGAAGTTCTTACAAAAAGATAACAAGAAACAAGACGCAAAGAGCATTGTGGACCAAGCTTTAGAGTAGAATAAAATACACACTCATGTCCCATGCCTCGCGCGGAAACTTGCGAGTCCCCTTGTACTTGACGATGTCCTGGCAAACGCTGCTAATGGCGGCCGCGAATTCCGTGTAACTCCAACGTTTCTCCAAATTGGTGAGGTAATCCCACTCGGCCATGTTCAACAAAAAAACTGTGCAATATTCTATGATTTCCTGCCTCGGGATCACTTGATCGGTCGCTTGTAAAGCACCAAGACACTGTTTACACCGTGCAACTATATTCTGCATGTCAGCTGAAATGATGAACGGCGAAATAATTTAGAATCATGAATTTGCCGTATTATTTTCCTGGAATATTTTCGATTCAATCCCTTTTTCGATGAATTATCTCGCAGCTCGACATATCATTTTTCTTTCATTTTAGAAAAATAATTTGGAACAATGGTTCCGAAATTTTCCACGCATATTTTTGTCGCGCGGAATGTCGAAATCAACGGACAAACAGCTGGATATGTTCTTACGTACAAACATTTGTCGCCGGCCAAACATGAAGACACTTCCATATCTCGACGAGCAGGCATTCCCAGCTCACCAATTTGCACAACTTGAAAACTTGTGGTTTCGCGGCGGTTTTCATATGCTCCTGCAGCTCACTGTCCAGTATCTTCAGAAGCTCTATTGCACCATCGAAGTTTTGAAACATTACCAATTCCCGACTTTTAGCGAGCAGAACGTATGAATAATCTTGCATGAAACCACGGGAGAGTGATATTACCACACTCTGCAATGGAATGGGTAATTCCCAACAGCCGTTCACGTTCCACAATGGTTTCATACGATGTTTTCCATCCAGGTGAATCAACGTTTCACGAATTACGTGACAATCGTAAGTCTCTATCAACTTTTGCTCTAATTCGAATACCTCAATTCTCGCGGTTTCTGTAAAATATAACAACAAAAGGAATTTCAGAGTCAGTATGTAAGAGTATTTTATATGTGAGAAGCAGAAAAGGAAGTGATACAAATTTCATCTTATTTGCTTATGCTTCTTAAGTACAGATTTGCCAAATAACTAAGCATTATTTTGAATGCATTTCCTTACATATAAGATCAATATTTATCTTAATAATACTTCTTTCCTTTTCTTTGTATCATAAAAGCTACTTACGTATATATGGTACAGGCGATATACTCCAGTCGTTATGTAGCAACAAGTTTGGTAATTCTATTTCGTTGGAAAGAGTTGCTTGTTGAATGACAGCCAGTTCCGTTTCATCAAATAATGACGAGAGAGAGAGATCGTTAAGTATTTTCAAAGCGAGCCCTTCTATGTTGGCAGTGTTTACAAGATAAAGAAGGTAACGCGAGATTCGTTTCTTATCCACAGATGATGTGTTTTCCATAACATTATTTAAGGCCTAAAAAATAAAATAAAGCAAAAAGACTAATGAAAAACTATTTTAACCCTTTGCACTCGAGGGCTCCGGAGCGGAGCCATTTAAAATTTGTCTTCAAACAAGAGGGCTCTGCTATGGAGACAAGGCAAATAGCAAGAGCGGAATATCATATACACAATAGTTTTTACGATTTGTCTTTGTCCTTATGTTATGAACTGAAAGTTATTTGCATTGTCTCCATAGCGGAGCCCTCGAGTTTGAAGACAAATTTTAAATGGCTCCGCTCCGGAGCCCTCGAGTGCAAAGGGTTAAATTCAAACGATATGAAATGTATGTATATGTGTGTGAAAAAACATTCAGTTTGAAATATATTTAGAAATTCAGAGAAATGATTTCACATACTAAGAATGATACAGGAATGATGAAAATTTGACGATTTTGTGAATATTTAAGAGCAATCTTAAAGTTATTTTACCCAAAATAGAACGTCCAGACCCTTGGGACCGGCTGCTTTAATTTCAGTTACATAATCACCGAGGATTATGTTATCGTCGAGAACTTTCCTAATAAGATTCAAGCATTGTATCTGCAGCAGAAGATCCCGGGCAACTATGATTTTCCTGTTAACAGATCCGCCTTGTACATCCAGCTCCAAGTTATCTCTATAAACCTGAGGTATCTCTCTGAAAACATTGTCTGCTTGCAAAATCTGCAATATGTTCTGCAGATTTTGCACATATCGCGTAAATATATTATTTGAAGGTGTACGCTGATCTTACTCGATATATAAAAATATATTTACAGTATATTGATCTTTGATGGAGGACTGCAAACGTTGAGTGAGACTAGAGGTGATGTCTTCTATGGGTACTTCACACGCAAGACAAGCTCCCTCCAAGAATTCCTTTTGTACTTTGCAATACATGAATTTTGCTGTTGAATCCAAGTTACTATATCGCTCCTTTGCCTGTCTGATATGAAGTTTAGCATCTTGATATTCCTCTCTCAGTAAATAATACATTGCAAGGTCGTAATGTATCTAAAACAGTAAATTTATCTAAATTATTCTATATTGATGCAAGAATAATGATATCTAAGTTATAAACTTCTTACCTGACATTTAAATTCATCTATATTCACTGAGTACATATTTTCCCAATTTTGTTTGATTTCTATACTATCCTCAGTCAACATTTGAAAAGTATCAAAAGAGAGAACCTTTGGCTTTATATCGGATGCTTCTAAAATAGTGTTTAGGGCATTTACGCTGTTGGGTATATGTGATTCTAATTTCCTAATAATGTCATCCACTACACTTGATGGTACATATGTTGATTCTTGAAAGCCTGGTCTAATTTAATATATTAATTAAAAATGTTCAAAGTATTAATAGAAAATTATAAAAATGTATAATAGAAACATCATAATAGAACTTACATATGAAGTAATTGTTGTTTTGGCTGCTTATTACTTAAGGCTCTATAAATAATTGCCCTCAAATGCCATCTATGATATAAAACTAATGTGAACAAGAGTTGATCAGAGACTGTTTCTATAAAGAATTCTGGAATCTGTGGTATGTCTACCACAACATCAGATGTGATATAAAATAAATCTTGAAGTAATGTTAATTGTATTGGCAGAGGTAACTTCTTCTCCAGTACATCCAAGTCCCATCTAAGATATGCTGCTACTTTCAGGGAGAGTATCTTTAATGCTAAATTCCTGTGAGACCACTTATTTACACCATTGGATTTTACATCGTTTGATTCAGCATCAATTGCTTTCAACTCAGTCTCCTTTTGGTCAGAGTTGATCGTCATAAACTTAATTATTAAATCTGTAGGAGATGGATCTATAAGTGGAATAACAGTTGTTTAATATTATTTAATGTTTCACTATAATGTGCAATTATTTGATAAAAATATATTCACCTGGGAAGGGTTTTGACAAATGTTTCCGCAGCAATGACGGGTTTAATAAAAATTCGAACCATAATATTGTGTCCGGTGAAATCGGCACTGTGCCCGGTCTGAGCAAATCTACATCCATATTAAAAATATTGTCATTAATGCATTCAACACTTCCCACAATGCGGAATAATTCATAACAGACTAAGGGAACCAAACTCGATCTTGTAAAAATTGGTTACAGTTCACAACGCTACCTGCGATTGGCCCCGGATGTGGCCGAACTAAAAGAATAACGTCGTATAGGGTGCGTTCCTTTATTCGCAACAGATTCAACTGAATGCAATTCATGGATGCATCATTTCACTTTATAAAGTTACTAGCTAGGAACAATAATGTTCCCAGGAAACACATTCTCCTATTGGCTATCGGATCGTCGTATGTTCAAAATTGGACTCCAGTATTAATTCTTCAGTATTATTGTGTAACGTCCGGACTTATTTTGGAACATTAATAATATATTAGTATAGATCGGAGGCCGACTTGTCTGATTTCAGATATCACTAGGTTAGGTATTCACCAAGTATAGATATTTTATCCCTATGTTACTAGATGTAAGTACGTGCGCATATATATATTCGCGCATGTTAAATATTATAATTAAAATTATAACGCCGAATTATAACGCCGAAGAAACGACACTGCGTGTCGTTAGAGAGTCTTAAAATCGATGGATAAATGTCAGTCCACAATAAGTATTTTAAGCCTTAAGTCTCAAGAAATTGACCAATTACAATCGAATGTGAAGAGAATAACTGTGATTGGTCAATTTCTTAAGACATAGAGCTTAAATTCTCATTGTAGATCCCGCTCAAGGGAGAATTCACATCTTAACAGTGTTACGAAACTATGGTTATCCTGAAACCAGAAAATTTTAATTTTCCTTTCCTCTCATCAAACGGCCCTGAAAGGGTTCTCCATTGTTTTTTTCGTAAGATATGATCATGAGTTTGTGCTCATCAAGGGCGTACCCTACCGCCAGGTTCCCACCATCTGTCCAAAATGGTGGCAAGCCTTAAGGATTCATATAAATCTGCCTACAGGTGCGACAATGCTTATCTCGTGGCGAAAGTTCGTGCGGTAGTCAATCAACATTTTTCGACAAGAATTAGAAGTTTACCGTGTGAACTTCCGCTGTGTGGCAAGCGTGTCGTGTTCTATGGGCAGAAGCCGTTAAGCCAAACACAAACACGGTCATTTCGTTCGTCCCAGTCGTACAGAGCAGTTCTTTCGCGGACGCGCTCTGATTCGTATCCCTTTCGAAGGATGTAGATATAAGGCGTAAATGGTTGAATATACTTCAATTACCTTTGTATTTTGAAGTGAAAACAGCATATATTTGCAGTGATCATTTTAGCAATGACAGTTTCTTTGAATTGGATGGAGAAAAATGTATAGCTATATCGTCGTTGGCGCGGCAGCCAATCCCAGCGCGTGACTAGAAAGAGACAGATAGGACACTCGGCATCCATCTCTCTCTTTGCCTCTATCACTTCCACTTACAGGCTTGTTCCCTCTATTCTTATATCTCTATGGTAGGTCTGTTCTGCAATTCGCCGTTTGCCGGAGTCGGATGTCAAACGCTGCTGATGGTCCAATAGGGAGAACTTACTTTCGAAAAATAAATTATCTCATTGGACTAGCGGTTGTGTTCCGACATCTAACTCCGATGCACGACATATTATAGAAGACCACAGACCATAACCGTCTATTGACAATCGTCGGCTAGGGAATGTGTTGTTGCGCAAGTATATGGCAAAAAAGTTGCGTAACGACATATATATGATCCACTAGTTGTCGGTAGACGGTTATAGAATCTCGCTACTGAAAAACTCTCTTGAATTATTGGTTGCATTTAGAAAACACAATTATATAATAGTTGAATAATTCGTCAACATAATTAGTATAAATTTAGGGATCTAACAGTAATGTCCAATAATCATTGATCGCTCATTGATCTTGTATTGCTTGCGTTTCCTGAATATAGCCATTCGTAAAGCCTGTATCAGATTATGGATTGAAGATTGGGATTGAATTGAAATTTGTTAGTGCAAAGTTAATAAATTTCACTAAACTTGAGTTTAGTTAACTTTGTACTGATTGATCAAATTCACTTCAATCTCAATCTCCAATTCGTAATCTGATACGGGCTTTACTATTTGTATACGTAACTTGCGAATGATATCCAATGAGCATACTGCTTTTACGGAAAAGTAGTACGCTTATTGGATTATCATTCGCAGGTTATGTTCACGAATAGTTACGAATGATTCAAGAATCGAGCTCTAGAACGATTTAAATCGTCTCGGAGTAACGTTGGGAAGCTCGTCACGGTGGAAAAATAATGCAACCTTTTCGCGATGATACTCTGTTTGCCTGTCTAAACGTTGAAAAGAAACATAGAATTTTGCAAAAAGAAAATAAAGGTAAAGTTCTATAGAAGCAAAGCAATAACGATTTGAGTAAATATTTGAAACAGAACCTGTTGCTTCCAGAGTTCGGGGACAAAGATAATGACGTGAATAAGTCGAAACTGTCACATTCTGCAATCAAAAGAGAAATACTAAGAAAGGATGAGTCTGACATCGGAAAGTATTTCGACGACAGTGTTATATCTCTTAATGTTAATAGCGGGAAGAATTCGACGTCAAATATTTTGAAAAAGGACAAAATTCTCATATCCCAAAATAATAGAAATTCTTATAAAATAAGCAGTAAAAACACTAATGTGAACTGTTTGAATAAGAAACGTCCTTTTAATACTATAAAAGAAAATGATGAGCTTAACATAGAACATTTTCAGAAAAATAAGTTTCGTGATAATGAAAAAGATACAATTAGTAATAGCTATGTTGCAACATCAGCTAATAATTGTACATATGACAAAGAGAGTTCAGGTAGCATTTTGTATTTGCCTCTTTGTACTCAGGATCGATGCAAATTAGGATCATGGGGTTTACCACCAAATATTCTTCAGGTATTAGATTATATTTTATATTGATAGAGATTTAGATTATTATAACATATATATAGCAATATATTTCTGAAAAATAACAATAATGATATTTATTAATATTAAATGTGTGTGTGTGTGTATATATATATATATATATATATATATATATATATATATATATATACATATAATTATATAAATTTTATATAAGTTAAAATAATTATAAAAAAAATATATATATACATGTAATTTTAATAAATATTGTTATTGTTATTTTTTAGAAATATATTGCTCATGGAGTTGAAAATATGTTTACATGGCAAATGGAGTGTTTGTCAAACCATAAGATAATGCAGGATAAACAGAATCTTGTATATTCTGCACCTACTTCGGCAGGAAAGACTCTTATTGCTGAAATCCTTTTAATCAAGACTGTCTTAGAAAGGCAGAAGAAAGTAATTTTTATTTTACCATTTGTTTCTGTTGTCAGAGAAAAGATGTATTATTTCCAAGTAAGATTATAAACTCATTTTCTTTTATATTAAACATTTTGATCAGTACAGTTTTATTAAAAGAAAAAAAATTTGGTGTTCAGGACTTATTGTCTGATAGTGGAATAAGAGTGGAGGGGTTTATGGGAGGTGCTGCACCACCCGGAGGATTCGCTGCTACTCAGATTGCAATAGCAACCATAGAAAAAGCAAATTCTTTGGTAAATCGTTTGATGGAAGAGAACGATCTGAGCAGTCTGGGAGCTGTGGTAATAGATGAATTGCACTTACTTGGCGATACTCATCGTGGCTATCTTCTGGAATTGCTCCTAACGAAATTGAAGTATATGACTATTCGGTGAGCTTAACAACATGATTGCACGTGTCTCATAAAGTGATTTGACTCATTTTTTTAATAATTTGATGATGTTTCAGCAACGACGATATTAATATACAACTGATTGGCATGTCAGCCACATTGCCAAACCTATCTTTGTTAGCTAAATGGTTAGATGCTGAATTGTATAAAACTGAATTTCGCCCCATACCTTTGAATGAGTATTGTAAGGTAAAAAAGTTTTTGTTATTACCTAAGTTATCTATGTAGAAATGTTACACTGCTTAAAAAACTAAATAATATAAGTTTTATTTTTATACTGCTTAAAGTTCCTGGCCCCTCACTGTGATCATACTGTACTGTGATGATATCAGAAGCAAGAACTCACATGTATGATTTATATTTACGGTATACATTGAAATCAGTTAGTTTTTCGCAAGGATAGATCTGTGAAACGTGCTAAGAACTATCTTGCAAGGAAGTTAATTTATCTCAATAATATCGGACAGGAATAAATCACATATTTCTTGCTTCACGATTCAGATATGGTTACAGTGAGGGGTCAGGAGTCTCAAGACAGTTTCCACATTTATAGATAGGGCCAAATATATATGACAACAAGTTTAGTCTCGTTAGAAAATTAGCAGTATTGCCAGAATTGGAAGCGGATGCAGATAATATTCTTCAGCTTTGTATCGAGACGATAAACGCCGGCCACAGCGTATTAATTTTCTGTCCTACAAAGAAATGGTGTGAGAAATTGGCGCAACAACTCGCAGCAACTTTCTTCAAGTTAGGTATGCTTCAAATCAAAACTCGAATAAACATCGTCCTCCTTATCATGTATTTTTTACAATTTTATACTTTCCTCTTTTTGTCCGTAAAACATATATATAACAAAACATAACTGCAAAGAATATATATTTTTCTTATATCTTTGTTTCTCTCATATCTGATAGGTTGTGGAAATACCACGTCCGGAGAAATGTTGAAAAAGGAGATCAATCCTGAGTTGATCTACGAAACTTTGGAGCAGCTAAAGCGCAGTCCAAGTGGCTTGGACAGTATTTTGAAGAGCACGATCTCGTTCGGCATCGCTTTTCATCATGCCGGGCTCACGATGGAAGAGCGCGACATCATAGAAGGATCGTTCAGGTAACGATCCTTTACGTTTGCTTTGTCAATTAATGTAGATTTATGTGTAACCATAACACTAATTCAAAATTGATGTTATCATCTTAGAACTGGATCCTTGAGAGTTCTCATAGCGACGTCGACATTAAGCAGCGGTGTGAACTTACCCGCGCGAAGAGTAATCATAAGATCGCCCATGTTTGGTTCTAATTTGCTGAACACTTTGACTTACAAACAGATGATAGGACGTGCTGGCCGCATGGGGAAAGACAGTACAGGTAAGATACCGCGAGGCATATGTGCAGAGTATGGTGATATTTTGTCTTCGTTATTTTTATCGAAAATTGCGCTTTTGCAGGAGAAAGTATATTGATATGCAAGCCGAACGAACGCAATGCGGCGACATCGTTGCTGTCTGCGACTTTAGACCCGATTGAGTCCTGCCTCAACAATTCCACACTATTGATAAGAGCGCTTTTAGAAGCCATAGCCAGCGAGGTTTTGTACACCTCGGAAGATTTAGAATTATATATCAATTGCACTTTGCTGAGCTTGAGCGATCCCTCTGACGTGCAAACTTTCTCCAATAAAGCGATTAAATTCTTATTGGACAATGAATTTTTATTGTGAGTACATACCTTTATTTCTTGAAATCTTTCTTTTACTATAAATATGTAACTGAACCATTCTCGCTTGCTATCGTGTATAGATTACAGACTACAGAGAAAGAATCCCGGTGGATAGCGACGTCGCTTGGAAAAGCGTGCCTGGCCGCTTCCGTACCTCCCAGGGAAGGATTGTTCCTGTTCGAGGAGTTACAAAAGGCCAGAAGATGCTTCGTTTTGGACACAGAACTGCACGTGGTTTATCTGGTGACACCACTTAGTACCGGTAGTCAAATCGAAAATGTTGACTGGATGACGTTTCATGAATTGTGGAACACGATGTCGGAAAGCGAGCGCAGAGTTGGTAGGCTCGTCGGAGTGGAAGAGCGCTTCCTATTGTCGGCTATTCGAGGAATTGTTAGATCTGGGAAATTGGTAATCACTGTTTACCTATCGCAGATAAAACTTGTCTACTATAAAATATAAGAATCCCGAAGTAGTGAGTGGTCTCTAATACGAATGTTCTGCACTATAGTTGAATATACATAAGAGATTCTACAGTGCGTTGGCACTACACGAGTTAGTGAACGAAGTTCCGCTCAATGCGGTTTGCAAAAAGTACGGCTGTTGCCGCGGAGTATTGCAAACATTGCAGCAGTCCGCCTCTACGTACGCTGGTAAATCAACGGTTACCGTGCCGAGAAATGCAATATTGACGGAATTGTCCATCGATATTAATCTAATTTCATTCCGATCATCTTCGTTTAGGTATGGTCACGCAATTTTGCAAGCAGTTGCGCTGGGACTGCATGGAGTTGTTGATCAGTCAATTTCAAACGAGATTGCAGTTCGGCGTCTGCAGGGAACTGCTGGATCTGCTGCGTCTTCCAATGTTAAATGGTCTGCGAGCGAGAAGCCTGTACAAGCAAGGGATAACGTGCGTTGCGGACTTGGCTGTCGCCAACGAACTTAACGTCGAACGCGCACTTTATAATGCTCTTCCTTTTGAAAGGTAAATTCCTTTTTTGACATGTGAATTATCTTATAAATCATATTATTGTATCTCTCCTTTTCTTTTTATTGATATAAGTTTTTATGCATGTTTCAGTGAGAAAGATCAAGAAGGAGAATATGCACTTGAGACGGAAAAAAGAAATAAAGTGAGGACAGTGTTTGTCACCGGAAGAGACGGGCTCACACCGCAGCAAGCGGCAATTCTGTTGGTCCAAGAGGCACGGGTGTTGGTACAGGTTTGTAATTTTCATACTTCTAGGATGATTATTAATTTAATCTGTTAACTGCGATCTAATAATACGATATATTGATTATTTGCAGAAAGAGCTGGGACTTGAACAACTTCCGTGGGAGCAAAACGAGCGATCTCTGCAAGTAAATACACAGGCAGGAAATATTAAGGATACGCCCAGTACCCAAGAACAATCTCAGGTGAGGATAGATACAGACGGTTCAACGTCTACAAAAGAAGGAGTATCCGTCGCGGAAAATTCGCTATGTAGTAAGCCTGCGAGTAGGGAAAATCAAAAGGGTGACATTTCCAGCACAAATACATGCAAAGAAACCGTCGAAACTAAACTCGTACTCGAAAAAAAGAAAATGAGTGAATCACTTATAAGCTTGGAGAATGATCAAGATTCGTCAAATTTTCGTGACATAAGCAGTCCTGATCTGATAGAGGACGATGAAGATTTAAACAATTCTAAAGAGAAGGAAAATGATTCTGAAATTGACAACAGCAGCAAGACGAAGAGAAGAAACAAAGAAGAGAAAGATATTACATTGAACATGCCTAAGAAGAAATTAAAGATCTCGAGTTCAAACCGAGTCGAAAATATCGACGAGAAACAAACAGACAAAAATACAAGCGTGTCTATTCTGAACACACACGTCAAGTCATCATGTTCGAGGAGTCCCAGTCTGTTTGACGACAGCTTGAATCTCGACACCCAGATGTGTGACATTCTCGAGCAAAATGTCATGGACTTATCTGGACTGGAGGACTCCAGTGCATTCGAGAGCAGGTCGAACGTTACAAGTACGTTGCAAAAGAAATCTGTGGGTCCGAGCGACGACAGTGTGCAAACGTGCAATGACAATAACTCAGATGCGCACGTTCCAGCAGACACGGCTCATTTGCTACCCAAGAACAGCGTGTTGTCGTGGGACGACGACTCGTGGAACAGTTTCGCGGAGCTGTCGAAGAAGGTGGTCGAAAATAACGTTCAGAATATGAGTAAAGAAGTATTCCAAGGCAAAATCAAAGACATCGTGAACACGAGTGCATCCATCATTCCAAGAAATGTGAAGGCTCAAAATAACAAAGAAGATCCGTGTGACATGGGCGTAAAAAAAAGCACGACTGTCGCGTCTAATAAGGAGAAAGCGTTGCTAAAGTCCAAATTACTGAAGATAACGAGCTCACAATCGCCTGTGACGAATGTAATCGTTTTCAGGGGAAGCGAGCGGAAAACGTCCGTGGATTCCAACAGATCCGATTCGGACAATATCATCGTTGCTTCACAGCACTTTGAGTCTCCGTTCAGCGGTAACAAGAATCGAACGAAGACGCAGTTGGAGAGGAGAATACACACGATGCGTTCGCAGAAGCTTACCGAGAACACTAAGGAAATGAATAATCGTGTTAATTCTCCCATGGGAGGTGTACCGAGCGGCGCAGCAGAAGACAGCGCACAGAAGAGGATGAAGCCGAAGTTGAAAGAAATTTTGCCGCAAGATTTCGCCTCGGGTAGCGTCATATACGATTCCGAAGAGGAAGCAGCGGTCGGCTCGACAAAGCCGGTTTTCAGAGTCATACAACGGCACGAGACGCAGCTGAGTGTGTCAAGGGAAAAAGTGAAGCCGAAGATAGAGATCGTATCGCGATCCGATAACAATATGGATCTGTCGAGCGAGACTGTAGATTGGAACACGTTGAACATCGTGAAAGTGGCGAACAATAGGGCGATTTTCAGTCTGTTCAAGCGCGAGGTATTGAAGAAACGAAGCGTCGCGTTCGCCTTGCATTGCGACGCATACAACACGAATAACATAGGATCGAGGGTCTGTGTCACCGACTCAGGGAAGAAACGAAAACTAAAGAAGCCCGTAAATTATACGTATGGCAGCACAGAGATTCGCGGTGCTGCGATCTCCTGGGAAAAAAATATCGCGTATTATATTTCGCTCATTAACGCGCAAGGTAAGGGAAATAAGAATCTCGATTGGTATTAAAAATTAAAAACTAAAAAAACTAACAAAACAGAAAAGTCCATCGTACAACAATTATCTTTCCAATCATTAAAACTTGTCTCTCTAACGCTCGTTTTTACCATCATGAATCTAATTGACGATTGACCCGACAGAATTGACTAATCGCCACTGGCCAATTAGCTGAACTAATCAATGCGATTGGTCAATTCTAATTGAGTTAATCGTCGATCAAGTTTAAATCATGATGATAGAAACGGATAGAAAAGGATGACTTTCAAGAAACTCAGATTAAACTAATCGATGAATAATAATCATTTCTGACGCCAATTTTCAGTTTTGTAACTTGTTCAACGATATAATGGAAAAATTCACGTTTCTGTCTGCATTAATAAGATAAAACGGATAATGGTTGGCTAAATATTTGATTTTAAATCGTTGATTAGATTAATCAAAGTTTGGTCAAGGCCACCCTAAGAAATTGAATTTTGTGATTCTTCTAGATTCTAAAATCTCCGTCAAGGAACAAATGATTCTGTTGAAAGAGTTGCTTTCTGACACAGCTCTATACGTGAAATGTTTCGCGGCAAAGAACACGTATAAACTATTGTATCTTTGTTGTGGAATCTCGGCTAAATGCAGATTCCTCGATCCGATGATTGCACATTGGTTATATACCAATAGCTCTGAGAGAAATTTCAACGAAATGGTAAGATTGCAGCGAATATGTCGTTTTATTATTTTATTTATTTTATTTATATATTTTACCTTATTTTATGTTTTTTTTAATTTTAATTATCTTATACAATGGCGAGGAGGATGGAGATTAACTAGGTATGAATTTTGAACAGGTGATGCAATATTTTCCTGAAGGGAACTTCATAATGAAGCGCACTAATTCTTATAGCAACGTAGGCCCTGGGATGGATATGCGAAGTTCTTTACCAGGCGAGTTTAGATCAGCCGCAGAAGCCGTGCTCATATGGCACATGGCGGATAGTATTACAAATAAATTGGAAGAACTCAATCCTGTGCTACTTCATACATTTAGAGGCAAGTTTTCTTTAAATATATGTCTCTCTGAAGAATGCTACCTATTAACGTTTGTGTTCATTTTTGTAGACACAGAAATGAGAATAGCGGCGATTTTAGCTTGTATGGAATTATCAGGTATCGGCGTGAATGTGAAAACACTGCAAGAACTGTCGTCGGTTGTTTTAAACGAAATGCAATCTTTAGAAACAAAAGCTTATGATTTAGCAGGTAGGAAATTTAATTTATCGTCGTCCAAGGAAGTTGGACAGGTTCGTATATTTGAAACCACAATTGAACCTTTATGTATCTGATATCCCGGGAAAAAATTATTATATATGAATTTTGTCTATATATATTCATGTATAATCATATATAATCATATATAATTATATATGTCCTACGTCGAAAAAATACTGTTATACGAATGTAATTGAAATAAATGTATGTTATGTTTGTAGCTGCTCATGATGTAAACACTTAATCAAAATATTTCTTCCGTTTTTCATTCAACAATATTTTTATTTCGTGCGAACATATATAATTATATATATATAGCCACACACACACGCGCGCACACACACACACACACACACACACACACACACACACACACACATATATATATATATAGAGAGAGAGAGAGAGAGAGAGAGAAAATTCATACATAAATTACTAACTAATATGATTATATATAATTATATATAATTTTATATGATTACATCTTTTCCTCGGGATTATATCATGATATATAATTTCATGTGTGTATATCGTAGGTACTAGGATTATATAAAGATAAAAAAGTCAGTACGAGTAAGGCAGTTTTGGAGAAATGTGACAACCCGATATCACGTCTCGTGATTTTATGGCGGAAACTAAGCGCGACAAAAACCAAAGTAATCATACTATATATTTTTACCGTGTTTGTAATAATTAGGAATTAAAATTATGTACAAGTTTAGCATAATCTTTTTTCTTATATAGATCATCTACCCGTTGTTAAATCTGTCTCAACAAGATTCTCGTATTCATGGCAATTGTTTAACTTGCACAGTGACAGGCAGAGTCTCGATGCAGGAACCAAATCTGCAGAATGTACCGAAGGATTTTCGTTTCGGCGATAATAATCTCGTTGTGGGCGTAAGAAAGGCGTTTGTACCGGCTTTAGGCAACGTAATGCTGTCTGCAGACTACTGCCAACTCGAATTACGCCTCTTGACTCACTTTTCACAAGATTTGGTACTATGTGAAATTATGAAACAGCAGGGTGACATCTTCAAAAATATTGCTGCCAAATGGAATAATGTAACGGAAGAAGAGGTATTAGATATTGACACATTTTATCCAACATGAAAATCTACGACATTCTTATTAATCTATGTTATTACTAGAGAAATTATTTATATATTTATATTTTTTATTATTATTACTTTAGAATACACACTTCACCCTTAGAAAAACTATATGTGAACGCGGATTAAAACAAAATCAAACTTGATCACTCAGTGTTCCTTGAAGTAGATAATTATCTTCATTGTCATGTACGTTCTCATTCTCGAAACAGGTAACCAATGAGATGCGTCAGCGCACGAAACAATTATGCTACGGCATGATTTACGGCATGGGAGTGAAGTCGCTGGCTGAAAATCTATGTATAAGCGAAGCCGACGCTCAGCACTTTTTAGAATCTTTTATGAGCGCGTATCCCGGCATATATAAATGGCTGGACGTCACGTTGGAGAAAGCACATCATGATGGATACGTGACCACGTTACTCGGAAGGCGTAGACAACTTCCGGACTTGAGAAGTACGAAGTCGTCTACGAGAGGTGAGTCGATTGCCGTACATTAACACAAAACGCTGCATTGTTCGCATTGAGTAGTATATGTACATCTTTTAAATTATATAAATGCACGCAATTTATTAAAGTATCTGTTAAATGTTGAAGCTCAAGCGGAACGGCAAGCTGTAAATACAAAAGTGCAAGGCTCCGCGGCAGACATAGTTAAGAAAGCTATGATAAATATAGAAGAAAGAATGAGGCAAAACTTTCCGGACTCGGCTGTAATATTTCCCGAGGTGCAAGATGCTCGTAAACTAAGGAGCAACGGTCGAGATATGTTACAAAGGGGTGGTTACTTGGTTTTACAATTACACGACGAATTGTTATATGAGGTGAGTCTTTATGAAAGACATGGTTGACTAATGTTAACTAATGTTACTTAACTCCTTCACAGCCACATATTTTATCAAATAAAAAAAATATTTGAAAATATTTGTAGTTGAAATATTTCATTAACTATAAAAAACTATATTGAGAATATAATGTTAAACTTATCAATTATCAAATTAATTGTAAAAATTTAGCTTTTGTTCGATTCAATTGAATTGTTTTATTTTTTTACCTTAAATTTTTATTTTTTCTTACCAGCATATATTTTCGAAAGGAAATACGACTTCAAAGTCATGTTCAACATACTTATAAACCCCTAAATGTATCTTGTGTCAGTCATTAATTCATTTGTAAAACTTGAAAATATTTCATATCGAGAATATTCACAAATTCGAAAAATTCTAAATTTCTGACAGCTATATCTTTTCTCTGAGGCAACATTTTACAAATTGGACTAAAAATTGTTTTCAGCACACTCAAAAACCTCTATTAATATAACAAAATAGAATATTTCATGACAAGAAAATGCATTTTCGCGGCAGTGAACGCAAAGTGCAAAACGACGAAAATTCTCGTCGTCGATAGTCAAAGGGTTAAACGTACAAATATCACGATACAATAAATATAATATATATAATTAACGTTTCATATTGTTCCAGGTAAATTTAGCAGACTTGAAAGAAGTCGCTATAATAATTAAAGAGTCGATGGAAGAAGTGTGTCAACTTACTGTGCCATTACCCGTGAAAGTGAGAGTTGGGCCTGCATGGGGTAGTTTAACTGATTATAAATTTTAGAAGTTTTTTAATTATTATATATTATCTCTTGTGTTTTTATATTTCGATTTTTATATATTTTTGATAATTGATCACGCGCTGGATTACGTATGAATCATGTCAATATTTACAAGTAGATGTTTTACATAATATTTATCTTTTATATTTATGAAGATTGTAAATATTCTTATTCTATTTTAATCGATTATTTCAATTCCTCTGCCATTTACATATTATGTACTCGAGGAACAAAAAAATCAAGGTGATAAGCAAGATTGCAAACAATATTTATACATATAACATGGAGATTTCAATGTTTTCTGGTGAAAGTTTTATATATTTATACTTTTTACTCTAGTGCAAATTACATGATTAATATTTAATGAAAAATATTTTAAGAATACACTGTACATTTCTTTTTCCTTCATAAAAATGTCCCTTAAACATATTCCTTTTCGAAAATATTTGTTGATAAACTACGTAATATAAAAAAAGATATAAAATAAAAGAAAGCCAAATTAACTATTCCGAAAGAATTTGCGATCGACGTCGAGTTTGTTTTGTCGAATGCAACAGTATATATAGTTTGAAATACCAATCTATTATCAAGTAATGACTGTTCAGATTCGATGAATTAAAATTATAATAGTAATTAATTATAACCAATAAATTCGTTCGCAGCGCGGTACAAAATGAAATTGTTACGAGTTCTTAGTCGCACGAATTTTCCATCATCACCAGTACTTTTCATATTACATCACAAGGCGGTGCTAACGATTGATGCAATTTCGTTACAGCCGTTTGCACGATCTGCTGGAAGGTCTCGTCCTCTTTGCTGGTGACCTCCAAGTTTAAAAGATCGATGTGTGCTTTCTTACCATCCACTGTGACATATAGTTTCTCGCCTTTGAATATCTTGGGGACGGAATCCTCGCCGAACATCTCCTGCAGCATCTCGATTAAACACTCCTTGAAGTGCATTCTGTCCATCTTGGTGGGTGCAGGCAGCATCTTCGGCGACTGGTCCATTATTTCGGCCTGCAGAATCGCGGTGAGAACCGAGTCCGCGTACATATCGTTCACAGGCGTCGCTATCCACTCCATCGTCACGATCTTACCGTCGATAGTAACGTCCACGTTTTTGAACACCCGCAGCTTCTTGTCGTCCACGACCTCAAGGTTGCCAGCTATCTGCGTCAGCAAGTGTTTCAACACCGGCAACGAGGCGGAGAAATACACACTCTGCCTTTGTATCACTTGGCTCATGCTCATGTCAGTATACTTGGACAAATCGCATGGTGCCAGCATGTGATAATTGAAATTCCGTTTAACCAGAACGCCGGACAATTTCTGCCCAGGTTTCGGCGTCTCCATCGCTAACGTGCCCATCACCTTGGCGGTCTTCTCGCCCCGAAAGTAAAGTTCCACCGCGACCGTGTTCCTCGGGTTGTGTATCTCCATGCTAGTGTTGGGATCATCCTCATACTCTCGCTGAAGAGCCGCTTTCAACCGGCCCATCTCGTTCTGCTCGCCGTGAACCAGCACCACATGCGGTGGTTTCAACGTCCGTATGAATTCCGACGTCTGTTGATAGTCGGTGTGCGCCGAGAACGATATGTAGTCAACGGACATCTTCAACGGCAATTTCTGCCCGGACATGGTCGTGATTTCCTCGGGCTCTGACAAAATGGTCTTGGCCAATGTACCCTCTACACAATAGCCTGCTATTATTACACCATTCTTCGCATCGGTGCACCAGGACTCGAACAACTCCCTCGACAGGCCACTCTGCATCATACCAGGTGAGGCCATCACCACACACGGCCCGATGTCCTCGAAGTGATCTATTCCCTTCAAGTTGGATATGTGCTTGAACACGAAGGGATTGTTTATGGCTATTTGCCGTCTGATCTTGTCATTCATTGCGTTTACGTATGTCTGGTAAACTGCCATGCACTTCTTCGCCAAGGAAGAGGCGTAGTAGATTGGAATTTCATGCAATTCGGAGTGTTGACTCCAGTACTCATCCAGAATGAGAAGAAGTTCCTGTGCTCTTCCCAGAGCAAACACTGGTATCAGGCATCTGCCACCTCTATTTACGATTTCATGTACAAGATTTGTGAATCTGCCTTCCCGGTCTTCCCTCTTCTCATGTATGTGAGTACCGTAAGTAGACTCGGTGATCAGTACATCGGGATGAATGTTCGGTATCTCAGCTGCCATGAGATGTCTGTCTTCTTGCCGGCTGAAGTCTCCGGTATATAGAATTTTCACACCAGCAATCTCTATCATGAACATAGCAGCACCTAGTACATGACCCGCATTATAGGCCCAGAATTTGATGCCAAATACATCCTTCTCCTCATGAAAATTGATTGTCTCTATTTTGTCCATGCTAGTCTCCAGGTCAGACTCTGTATAGAGCATCTGCTCTGTGGCTATGTTGCTAACTTTAATATAATCAGACAACAACCACCGATATATAGCTTTGGTAGCATGAGTCATGAAGCAGCGACCCTTAAAGCTAGTTTTCTGCAAAAACCAGGGCAGAGCTCCGCAGTGGTCTAGATGAAAGTGCGATATTAACAGCAAATCGATTTCATCTGCTTCGACCAGATCGACAAAAGGAAGAGCATCCATCCCTGATAGACCAGGATGTATACCGCAATCCAACATAATCCTCTTGCCCTTGAATTCTAACATAATACATGATCTACCGACCTCTTGACCGGCACCAAGTGGACGGATTGACAACAGGTCGCTTTCCTCGGCCGGCACTTGCGTGTCGCTTTTTCTCTTCGATGACATCTCAGAGGTAATAGTTGGTTTCTTTTGAATTACTCTTATACGCCACAGCTCTCAAAATGATATACGTTGGACACCTTTGTTTTGGTGTTCGGTGCCTCAATCTCCCATTCTTGGTATTGAATAATTAGCACTGGGTGCTTTGAATTCTGAGGTTATGTCGCCGTTCCACCGATAATTGAAATCGCAATGTGAATACAATACCACAAATTTAAAAGCGGTAACATCAGAACAATCTTCGATTATCTCACCTGACGTTTTAACTTTCATAAAATCGTCAACTTCCAATAACACGTCAACCTATGATTGAAGATAGAAAACTAAAAATCAAAGAAACGAAAAACGTATTCGCGTGTAACTTGTAACATGGATCGTATATTTTTTAGATGACCAACTACAGCAACTATTTTTTTTAGTAATGTTCGATCAGTAGGTGCCTTCAAAAGATGCAACGGTTGGATAATTTGTCAACATAATTGGCCTAAATTTAGAGATTTAATAGTAAAAACCAATAATCACCGACCGCTCATCGATCGCTTGTGTTTTCTGAACATAACCATTGGCTGTGTTCAGTAGAGAACATCGAAATAATTTTAGTCCTCAGGTCTGTTCGTGTTGCTTAAATTTTTGACACTTTTACACGTACGCCCGTTGCACAATAGCCTCTTTTTAAAAAGAAGAGCTGTTATTGGATATCGCTAATCGTATTCGGTGTGCAACGGGCATTAGATGTAAAAATATTAAAAAATGCAAGCAACGCGAACAAACCTCTGATCTACAATAGATGTAATAAGCTTTAAGCCGTAAGAAATTGTTCAATCATAATTAATTTTTCTCTTATAATTCGACTGTGATTGAATTGATCAATTTCTTGCAGCATAAAGCTTTCTACATCTATTGTAGATCGGGATTAAATCCGTTTCGCTGTTTTCTGTTGAGTGCAGTTAATGATCGAACGTTGCTAGAGAAAATTGCTGCAGTTAGTCGTCTAAAAAATACATGATAGGGAGAATTTACATTTTAGGCTGATATTCATAATCAAGTTTTATATTTAAGATTGTCTCAAATTCATCTTCAGATGCTCGTAGCTAATATAATGAGTCGTACAGCATTTGAAGATGAACTTAAAACGATTTTATATTTAAGATCCGACTATTTATACCGACTTTAAGCAGGATCTACAATAAGAATTTAAGCTCTAAATTTTAAGAAATTGACCAATCACAATTGATTATTCTTCTATAATTTGATTATAATTGGTCAATTTCTTAAGACTTAGGGCTTAAGAGACCTATTGAGACTAGAATTTAATAGTCAGATCTTATGTTTAAAATTGTCTTAAGTTCATCTTCAGATATTTTGTAGCTAATGAAATGAACCGTTCAGCATCTGAAAATAAATTTAAAACGGTCTTAAATATAAAATTCGACTATGAATACCGGCCTTAGTCTCTGTCTACAATAAGTGTTTTTTTAAGTGTTTTTAAGTCTTAAACCTTAACACTTTGCCGGCCGCTGTCACGTACGCGTGACTTTTCTTCGTCAACTGTTATCAGCCACTGTCACGTACACGTGACTTATTCATCAATTGTTGCTCTGCATCAATATGTGTACTTATAAAAACATCGGAATGAAGCATCACCACTGGCGAAAAGAAGTCACGTGTACGTGACAGCGGCCGATAACAGTTGGCGAAGAAAAGTCACGCGTACATGACAGCGGCCGATAAAGTGTTAAAAAATTGACCAGTCACAATCGATTATTTTCTTTACATTCGACTGTAATTGGTCAATTTATTAATTGCCAGTCGTCCTATGTTGTCTATAAGAGAGAGGCATCTCAAAAGGGAAGGACAGACGATGCTCGATATATATATTTTAACTGTAGTGCGCAGACGCGACGATCAGGTGATATATATATATATATATATATATATATATATATGATTCCATATCATGATATTATAATTATTTATGTAAATAAATACTTTGTTTTTATTCTCATTCTGATATTTGATATTATTGTAAGTGAATATAATTTTAAGAATATTTGTTTTTCTTTGTATTATTATTTATAGATAATGATTTTGCTATATCATTGTCAAATGCAGCAATTCTCGAACAAAATCAATTACAAAAAAAAATTTGATATCTAATTTAAAATAGCTCTCAAATTCAAAATTTATATAGTGCAAAACAACTGATTCGGCATAATTTTTTATACGAGAGCGTTAAATACGTTTATTTTTCTCTTTTAACATTTCGTACATTTTTTCTACGGAACTGGAATCGCTTTCGTTTTCAAATAATTTTTCAACATTTGCACAATGGGCATTATTATAATCTGTGCTATATTTATGACATATACACTCATAACTCGTTCCACTTGCCGTCAAGTTCACGTTAATGGAACAGATGATCACGATATTGCGAGCGTGAGCGTTGCAATCGTTATGTGGAACACACCCATAGTAGTATTATATATATAATTCCAATAATCTTAGCAGTATTGCAATCTAGTTCATGTTACTATAGTTTGCAATACGTAGCGAATATCAAAAGGAATGTTGCCTGAGTTGAATTGAGTCAACAAATTGAAAACCTTTTCCCCTCATCGTTCACTTCCAAATGCCACCTACCTAAACTAACCTCTTTTTTGGATGATAAAATAAAATAAAAAACACTGATCATGTTAAATTCACTTGAATCATTAAAAGCCGATAAATCGGTTTCCCGTTTTTTAGTGGCTAATGTTTAATATTTATTCCTAATATATTTCTATTGTGCGTAAGGCTTAATGCACATTGAAGAGAAATAAAAAATAAGATATAAATATAAAAATTATGTTGTACGGCCATTTATTTCATTCCGTTGTAAGAAAATAATTTCTAATTCCTATTCTTAATATTTAATACTTATTCTTATTTCTAAAATATGTTCTATTGTGCACAGGGCTTAATGTAGAATCAGTCTAAGATTAGGGTTATTTTCCAGCAAGAGACACAAGTTAATACAAATCTATTTATCATCATTTGTCCTTATTTCGCATTTGGTAAAGAGAAGGATAATAAATGATATAACTAGACTTGTACCTTTTGTTGGAAAACAACCTAGATTATTTCTTAAGATCTAAAGGAATAATCCAAACTTGTCACACAAAATTAGTAACTATGAGTTGCGTTCAAAAATTCTATTCAACGTGTAGAATAGTAATTATTAATCAATCATGATAAAGAAATCTTTACTCTTTCTATCGTGATTAGCCAATTAAATGCTACTCTATCCGTCGAGTTAAATTTCTGAACGCATACTTGAAACAGTTGTAAAATAAACGTTCTGCTGAGCGTGGTCAATATTTGTCTTTGAAGTATTTCTTTTATCCATGGTAAATCTAACAGATAATTTTAACGAAAGTGAGCGCTCACATAACCATTTTTGCGTTTTCTTGGGAGTCGATTGTGTATCTCAAAACGTAGCGAATTTACTAAAATATTTATAATTTCATTAGTCAACATCTAGTGAATTTCACTTTTGTAATCCTCGCTACGTTTTGAGATACATGACCTAAGTAAAAGTAAGCAAATTCACTAGATATTGACCAATGAAATTATAAATATTCTAGTAAATTCGCTCATTTTTGTAAATTTCACTACGTTTTGAGATACACAATTGATTTCCAGGGCTGCGTTTCAAAACTCTACTCGACGGATAGAGTAGCACTTAATTAACCAATCATGACAAATAAATATTTGCCATTTTTATTCTGATTGATTAATTAAGTGTTTTTCAACCTGTCAAATAGGGTTTCGGGACGTAGCCTCCTGAACGCAACCATTACCACTGTTTTATGAAAATTCGTCTAACTATCGTCATTGAGTTGGCGCTCACAGTCGAAATAAGAATTTCAATTTTGACGTAACCTCCGGAGGTTGGCAAGACGATTGGCATGCGCGCGCGCGCGCGCGGTCGAAGCGGAGGAACAACAGGAATCCGTCGAGGGACCTGTCGGTACAAAGAGGAACAGCGAGAGAAACAGGTGTTTGTGATCGTCGTGTAGTGTAGAGGGCCGCCCGCGAAGGGCAGGCGAGAGGGCGCCGCGCTCGCCGTCGCTCGGTGTAGCTCTTGTTGCTCTCGTTTCTCCCAGGCGGAATCCGCATCGCACGTCGCTGTTTTCTGTTGTGTTTTTGGGACCGGGACAGGAAAAACATGCCGTTTCGATAATCTCGTCGCGCCCAGGGGCGAGTCGTGTGCGTGCGAGTGTCGTGTCCCCGTGGTGATCGCTTGCTCGCTCGCGCGCGCGCGTGTTCCAAACGTCCCGTGCGCATTGTGCCGCGTGCCGCGTGCAGGTGTAATTTAATAAGCGCAGGCTGGGGTGGCAAGCTGGCTGGCTGGCTGGCGATTTAACAGGATATCGATTTGTCTGCTGGTGGTGGCGGCGAGCGTAGTGCCGCCGCGCTGTGTTGTGCCGCTGGCTCCGCATTGGCAGCGCACACACCGTCGCGTCGTGTTACGGCCGTCAGGCGTGTTACGGGGCAGCAGCCATGGACGTCGATATTTTTGGGGCACAGCAGTCTGATGGTAGGTCGGCGGCTGTATCGTGCGTCGTACCCGCGTCGTGCCCGATAAGCGACGAGATGTGACGCGAGGGTCGCCCCGCGCGATTATTCCCCCGTTTCACGTCACGCGTCACACACGCAGAGAGGAGCGGCCGGAACGGACGACGGCCGAGACGACGCACGACGAAGACAGAGACACGGTGTGAGACGCACGACGTTGCGCGACGTTGCGGTGCGGAAGTCCGATCGCTAGAGCTGCAGAGGCCGGAGCGGGGGTAGCGGATGCTTGGTGTGCGGCCGTTTATCATCGTATTGGCTCGGTGTAGAGAGCGGTCTTCCCGTGAGCTGCCAGCTTGTTGCACACGACGCGTATAAAAAAGCAACCGGTGAAACGATGGAGCTAAACGGCGTGGGTGCGCCCATTGTCGGCGCCGTGGCCTGTCCCGTCTGTACCTTGTATCTACGCGAAGGCATCAGTCTGCAGAAGCACCTGGACACCCATCCCAAGGAACAAGTGATAGATGCTCTTATCAAAGCCAGTTCCTCCTCATTGCAACCGCAGCAACAAGTACAACAGCAGCAGCAGCAACAACAACAACAACAGAACGCATCGACAGCATCAGCACCAGCATTAGTATCGCTGCCACAAGCTACGCCTCAGGGCTCCGCTACTATACAAACGCCTCAAGCGTCATCCCAGGTATCGCAAAATGCACATATCCCAGCTCACTCGCCGTATCCCATAGGACCCATCTTCGAGTGCCCGCCTATAAGCACCATGATGCCGCCGCAGTTCACCTCGTTCAGTTATCAGCAGTTTGTGAACAACGGGACCATGATGATACCGCAGGCGTACGCGATGGCGCCGCAAACCAATCAGATGATGCAAATGCTGTACAGTCCGTACGGTATGTACCAGCAGCAACAAATACCCACCGTCCAAATGATCTCACCGGTTACAGCTATTCCTGGCGCTACTCGAATCAGACCGGTGGCCACGATGGCCGCGGAGAACAGGGCTACTGTGGCGGTTCCTATGAGCAGTCCTGAGCCGAAGCAAATTTTGCCTGAGATCCTGCCGGAGCCCGAGTCCGGGCAAGTTTTATCGAACCTGCCGGCTTCGCCTCTGTTGCAGAGCGAGAACACGACGACCGTGAGGTCGTCGCGCGAAGAAGCCGATGGCAACAATGCGCTGCAAATGGATCACAGGATGCAGCGGACGCCGAGTTCCACACCTCCCGGCGAGAGCATAGTGCAGCACGAGTACAATAGCATTCCTAGATCCATCGCGATCACCTGCACCATAAACAGCAGCGGTGTAAACGACAAGGTAGAGATGGTGCTGCCGGACATACAGGACGAGGAGGAGCCGTTGGACGTCGGGCCCGCGGACCTGCAGTGCGCATCCGTGGCATATGAGCAGCCGGAGGACGCGCAGCAGTTCGTGCAACAGGTCGCGGAGGAAGAAGGATACGCGAGCGACAAGGAGATCGACATGTCGAGCGACGCGATCGACCCTGTGGCTTGCGAAACGGAAGCGGTGTGCGACGAGAGGCCGACGAGTTGCGGCGCCACCGACGATGATGACACACCGCGGGAAGCGTCGGTGAACGACGCGAAAGAGCCGGTTCAGCCCGAGGTGGAGTCCCAGTTGGAGAATCTTTTGATAACTATCATAGAGACGGAGTTCAGCGGCACCTCCTCGCAGAAGGAAGCCCAAGACGTTCATCAGGGGGAGAGGTTGGACGAGAAGGAGAAAGTCATGGCGGACAGGGTGGAGAGTGTGATTCACGATACGGTGATGACGACCCTCGGCTGCCACGAGAACGACCATATATTACCCGATATGCAGGAGAATGACGCGGAGTGCCCGAACGATTATGTAGATAATGAACTGGAGAAAACTTACCAGCACAGGCACGTTAGATCAGCGCCCCCGTCTCCCTTTGCGAAGAAGGAGCCTGTTTTCCGAGAGGACGCCGTCGGTTCCTCGCGCCACGGGGCCTACTTCGAACGGCCGCGAGTCGGTTCGTGCGACAATCTCATTCTCTACCTGCGGGACGACGACGAAAAGGTGGAGGACGCGGAGGACAACTTCGACGAGGCGGACATGGAGATTGAGGAAATTCCCAGTCCGCACACGCCTTTCGCGAGATACAGCAACGGGAGCGCGGAATGCGTCCGATCGCACACCCCGCTGTCCGCGATTAGTGGTATATCTGTGTTAAGAGTCAGGACGGATCTCAGCAAGCCCTGTTCACCCGCGTCTGTGCATTCCTTCTGTCACGTGGACAGTGACAGCTTGAGCCACGACGAGGACAGCAACAGCGGTATAGATAATAATGTCATAGAGAAAGATCCGATTGACTGTTCTCAGGTCGAAGAGAAAATTAAGACTGATCATCAGCAGCAGGCAATGAGCACAGTGTGCGAGAGTACTGATAAGGTCCAGGAATCGGGTTACGTGTATCACCATCACCATCACCATCACCACCACCATCACCAGTCGGTGATAACCGAGCACGTCAGTTCGTTTTCCGTCAATCATTCGCAGCAGCCGCAGCAGCCCGTCTTAACGCACGAGTCGTATTCCATGACCAGCTCCAAGACACACAGCCTGTTAAATCTGTCCGAGTCGATTAATCCCACAACCAGTACCGAATCCAAGAGTTTTCACACCACCGCCAAGTCACTGATGCCGAAGCAACCGATGGAGCTACTCAATATAAACGAGGACGCTCACGCCGGGCCGATGAATGTTTTTGAATTCGAAGGACTACAGATCATAGTTCCTAGTACATTTATAAGTGACTCGTCCCAGAAAGCAGTGAGTGCGACCAGCCAGCAATCCATGGCCAGCAGCGAGGGTGCAGTAGGTATCGATGAGGAAGTGAAGAGCATTAACATGCGAGCGGACGAGACCATGCCGCCCAGGGGTGAATTGTCGGAACAGGAGAGCAACGGTTGTACGGAGCAGTCTGCATGGCAGGTTCGTCAATGCCATCTTCTCTTTGATATCTCTACGTACATTTTTTATCGTAAAATTCAAAGCGCTTCATTCTCTGGAATTTTTTACGGTAGCCTTCCTGCTCTTTATCTCTTTCATCCGTACGTTTACATTTTTTTAATTCTTTTTATCCATAAGCCACACACACATTGACTATGTTCCGAAATTCACATTGCCAATGCTAAATCTATAGTTTGTGTTATGCGTACTATAGATTTTCAGTATTGGCAGTGAATATCGGAACGCAGCCATTGTTTGTTATATTATTCCTGGAATCTTCTTGAAAAATTTTAAATGCATTTACGAGGTATATGTTTGATTTAAACGTTTCAACTCGTAAATATATATAATAAAATATATCTACAGATCTTTCTAAATTAATGATAATAATATAAACGTAAATATAAATTTATAAATATAGTTAATAGAATGTTGAATGTTGTTTTAAATGAGAATGATTTATACAGTTCATAATATTTGTTGTAAAATGTGAAATTTTTTCTAAAAAGATTTTTTTCAGTTTTACAGTTCTTTTTGGTGATTTACTAAAAGATAATACACATGATATATCATGCATATAAATTGACCATTTGTCATTGAGAACTTGTTACATAAATATTATTTAAAGGTGTGATAAGAGATTTCTTTTATCATTTTTTTATTTATTATTCTATTTTTGATTTACCAAGCAAATATATTTATGCTTAATCTATTTTGAAATTTTCATTATTTTATCGATTTTTAATATTCCTCTTATTATCATCGTTATTGTTATAAGTCTTTTAAACTTTTATATTTTATAATATTTATATAATTATTGTTTATGGTATACTGGTGAACTCTTGCATGTGTCAATAGGGGAGAGAGAAAATGATTTTGTTATCATACAAAATAATATTATCAGGCATAGATAATTGATGGGGGAATTGATTAGAAATATATCTAATGAAGTACGCGGGATGTAAGTTGTACATATTGAACAGTAACAGATCAATCATTGGCACATGTCTCAGTACAACTCTCGCCGTAGTTAGCATATTCAAAGTTTAAGTTGCAAGGTAGAACGATACACGGTGGTAGAAACGAGAATGATCACCTAGTAGCCATCATAAATCTTACGGCGTATGTGTAGCCTATTTCATTCCTAAATGATGTGTTTGTTCCCTAGCTGTACATGGGTCAGGAATCGTCGCGCATGTCCACTTCTTACGACCTCCTGGCGCGAGAAAGCTGGGAGGAGTCCGAAGGGTCCGACAACGAGATCAGCGGGCCGCTGTTGGACAGCAGATCGTTAGCCACGCACTTTACGTCGAGTTTGTTTCTGGACCGGGATCGGAAGACACCGACCAAACGGACGTTCAAGTGTTACCATTGCAGCGAGGTATTCGATTGTCCTAAGGAACGCAGAGTTCACAGCACGACGGTGCACAAGGGAGCGGTGCCCAGCAGCAGTAGGGATCAACTGGATCAGCCAGAGGTGAAGGACATTAAATTGCTTGACAATCGGATGAACGTGTTCGACGACATATTCGTGCCGGGGTTGCACGTGCAACAGATGTACCATCAGCAGCAACCGCTGCTGCACCAGCTCCAACCGCCGCAGCCGTCGGACCTGGGCAAGGCGGAGAACGGCGACCAGAAGATCGACAGTCTGGCGATACCGTCGGCCATCGAGGTAACGTGCGCGATATGCAACCAACGATTCAACAGTGAGAAGTCCCTGCAGGTGCATCACAAGCGTATGCATATCGCCGAGGTGAACAAGCGGATTCGCGAGAACGCCAAATGCCAGATATGCAGCGAGGAATTCCCAACGGTGTTTCTGTTCAACGCCCACCTGAAGATACACCCGCTCGAGTGCGGCCAGTGCGGCAAGTACTTCTACAGGAAGCAGAACTTCAAGCTCCACATGAAACGCCACTTGGGCATCAAGCCGTTTCCCTGCACGGTATGCGACAAGGCGTTCCTCACCAAGCAGAAGCTGGACGAGCACACCAACGGTCACACTGGCAATGCGCCGGTCAAGTGTAGCCTGTGCAACGAGACTTTCCGTAGATACTCGAACTTAACGCAGCACAAGAACCGGCATCACCTCAACATCAAGAAGAAGCTCAAGGACTACATATGCCACTGCGGCGAGGTGTTCCACACGAAGAAGAAGCTGGCTTGGCACAAGGAGACCCACGACGAGAAGCCGAAGGCGTGCACGTACTGCAACGAGAGATTCATCCACATGGCCAGCCTCACGCGTCACATGCGTCGCGCTCACAACCGCCGTTTCGTGCCCGACGCTCACCGCGAGAGCGAGAACGTCGAGTGTCCGATATGCAAGTGTATCTATCTGCGCTCGTCACTGGCGGTGCACATGCGCGTGCACAACGGCGAACGGCCGTACGAGTGTCAGGTATGTTCCAAGGCGTTCAGCACTAAGTGGAACCTGCAGTTGCATAAGTGGACCCACGCGGCGCGCAGCACCAAACCGTTCAAGTGTAATCAGTGTAGCGCCGCGTTCTATCGCCACAGCGACTACACCGCCCATATGAATTCCCATCGGAACGTGCGGCCGTACACGTGCAACTACTGCGGCGCCCAGTTCATACGCAAGTACAACTGCCTGCGACACGTGAAGGAGCACGAGGAAAACAAGGCGTACACGTGCGACGTGTGCAACAAGACCTTCCACCGCTCTTACTATCTCAAGGAGCACCTGCGCGTACACTCCGGCGCGCGGCCGTACACGTGTCACATCTGCGGCAAGACCAGCGGCACCAAGTCCAATCACAACAAGCATGTTAGGATTCACCACGCGCGCGAGCCTGTAAATACCGAAAACTAAGACGCGAGGACACTAGAAGACACCTTCGTCTCATGTTCGTTCGTTCATATTCGAGCCTCTTCCCTTGTTTTCTTCTTTACTCTCTCGTAGCTCGAGAGAGACGTCGGTGACTTGGCGCACCTCTGCGCTGTACTTACAGCGGTGGCGGATATTCAGGACCGGACGTTCCTCGCTTTCGTATCGGACGTTCGAGATCGGCGCGCCGCGATCTCGTCGAGTTCACAGTCTCGGGTAACTGAAGTCGCAGAGCTCGCGGAAGTCCGATCGCCGGTCCCAGTTTTTAAATGATAACTTGACTCGACCTGAATTACACGGAGCGATTCCTGCTCGAAATCGTAGGCATAATTACGAAAACGGGAAACAAAATTTAGTTAAGATTAGCGCTAAATAGATAGCGCAACTGGCCGTCGATGTAATCGAATGCAGCTTTCAATTGGAATAACACACACACACACACACACACACACGATAGGCAGGGAGAACGTAAAATAGCGTGTACACGTATGGTCGCGTACACGCGCCGATAACAATGAAAGGATTAAGTCACTGTAACGGTATCCGTGTGCTGAGTCTGAAGCGCTGGGTCTACCGTTGAGATTTTTTATTCGATTTTCCACGCGAATATTACGTTACATACGCGTCCGACGTTTTTAATATTATTATCCTGAAGCTACATATAAATTTTTTATATATCCGAAAGTGTCTTAACGAATAGCAGCACTTCAAGCATTATCGATCCGCCATACGTAGCGTAATCCGGGAACGTTGTATTAACTCGTCGTTCGTGTGGTTTGAACAAATTGCGTGCAATACAATTTCTATTGTGTATCGACGACCTCGGATAAAAGTTTCTCTCATCGCCGAAATTCATATTCTTGAATAATTTGTGCCTCTGATCTGTGTTGTGTAGAATTTCAATTTTTATTGTTCAACAACCATTTGAGAAGCTTTGACTATTTGCTATCCGTCATGCATCACGTTCCTACGTTTTCACGTAGATTCTTATAATTTCAATAGAAATCTCCTGTGTATCGAGGATTTTTTCTGTGTCAATATAAGTATACGATATAAAAAATTATTGCACCTAATTTCATCGTCCGAATTAAATTACGGCTAAACTCCCTTTCGACGATCGAGGGAAAGTTTTTATTCGGCAATCAACATTCGTAAATTCGTGACTACTGATTTTTCGCACCGCAATGTTTGGATGAATGTTCGTTACATGTAAATTGTAACCACGTATTCAATTCGACATATTCATATGTATAGGTCACTCTTTCAGCATGAGTGCTCACGTAACTTTGTCTTATTCAAGTTTTCTCTTTTCTTTCCTATTTATTATATCGCTATTGAATTTTCTTTATATTATCGGTTTTTGTTAATGATTGCATTAGATATTTATAACTTCAAAAATAAATTAATGCTTCTTTGCATGTACGTAGAATATTTAAATTGCGTATGAAATTTTTCAGTTTATTTAGTTTGCATTAAAATGTGATTTAGTTCTGGTTGACGACGCGGAATAATTTAAGTAAATTGTTATTTATAATATGATATACTAAGTAACTTCTGATAATACCGGGATTTTATTATATTGTGTTACGTGCTACATTATTACTTTTTTTTGTTTTTGGAAATAATTGCGTACTATGTAGGTCCAGTGACTTGAGACTTTAATTAGTTAAGATAATGAAATTTTTAATAAAAATTAACTAATATAACGTCTCAATGACAAGGTAGTTCCTGCGAAGGCAGGGCTACGCAATTGAAACACGTTTGCCAACTAAATAGTAATTAATTATTATGTAAAGGTATTATAAATCGATCCATTAATACTTACAAAAGTACGAAGCACTTTTACGTGTCGATGGTTGTAAAAAATTTCTTTTTTTACGATATCTATATCTTTACGTGAAGTGTGCATGTTGCAAATTTGCGCATCGTTGCCCAATATAGTAAGTGTGGAACGGCTCGTATTTAATTGCGTTCAATTTTCTACGCAAAAGGGCCTATTAAAACTAATATTATCACTACTGACTATTACACACAATAGTTACGAATCTTAGTTGTTATTCTTCTATATTTATATATTTTGCAATGTGTAAGGCCGTATTTTTTATTGGTTATTATATATAATTCCAAGACTGATCGGTGTTGGTTCTTCGTATATTGCTCTCTAATGTAAATCAAAAAAGGTTACTCTTATCAATATTTTAATTTAATGTCGCTAATATATCGCTAATATATAGTTGCACGATAGTTCGCTTGAATTGTCGATATCTTGTGTATACGTGACATCGATAATACACGCGAATACGAAAAGCGAAGAATACTTCAGCGTCTGAAGACGTAAAACCAGTGATTTTTCTTAAATGTTATTCAACTCTTCGTCTCTTCGCGTTATTTTAATGTAAGGGAGCAATGTTGAAGATAGAGGATATAGAGCTGTCTGAATCTGTGTATTGGTTGTCGTAAATATTATAGAATGTTTGATTGATTTTCTTCAAATCGTGTGCTAAAACGAGTTCGAATTATTAATAATCTTAAAAGACCAATGAAAAGTATGTATGGATTAAGAAAGACAGACGTTTGTAAAAGTCCATTCGTGGATATTTAAATAACAATTTAAATTTGAAGATGTTAACATAGCTGAAAGTTCACACGATAATAGAATGTGCGAGTCTTTGAATGTTACGTGCGCCATGATGGAGCTTGTTTGAAAAACATTAACCCTTTGTACTCGAAATGATTGTTATCCGACGTTACTTGTCGGATACTTCTTGTAATGAGAATGTGCAAATGTTTTTACTTTGTTATTCTTACGAGTTATCAAACACTGCTCAGCTAAGATTAAAACTCGTTGGCAATTAAACTAGGCGAATAATTGAAGAAGATAATATTACAAAATGTTGTGGACATGCATACGTATTAAATTTGAACAGAGAGAGAATATGTCTCGCTAGTTCTAGAAAAATGTAGACTGTGCACCGATATGAACAATCACACTATTGAGAACAAGTGCGAATGTGAATGTGATAAAATATGGAAAGAATGTAATGTGTCTGTGTAATGTTAACATGCGAATCACTAAAGTAGATATAGGATATATCGTTAAAATGTATTCGAGCAGTGCGAAAAGTGAAAACACGTGTGATTGATAGTAAACGAATTTAATTTCTTTTGTTGCAAGGTTCCAGTCGTGACAGAATTGTGCATTTTACGACTAAGATAGGACAAATTTAATATTGTATGAATAACTTTGTATGGAAGGGGGTTTGTAATTTCTAACTTCTCGCAGCTCTAGTCTATACTAGATAGGAATAACTAACACAGAAAACCAGAATCATTGAAACTAAATTCTTTGCAATGTAATGTGTAATGTTATACACAGAGTGTCTCAATAGATGCGGATAATATTTTAATCTCAATTTGATTTGTCAGATTTCAGATTTCCAATGTTCCTTACTAGTTATTAAGAATAAAAGAATTCTCAAAATGATGTTTCAAAGATGCGATTAAATAATTGAAAACGTCACTTAATTGCTCATTCAACTCAGTGAATTTCGATTCGATTCTAGTGAGATACTAATAAATTTGATATTTAAGTTAAAGAAAGAAAACTTTCTAGAGGAAAAACTTTTAAAGTTGTTACTAAGAAAAATTGATGTCGAATTCATCAAATTTATGTAAGTATAAGATTTCCGAGATATCATTCGCACGTCTTGGAGCACCCTGTGTATATTCTGTGTATATTTGGAATGTTACAACTTTGCACACAGTATTCGCACGTGGACACATATTCAAGCACAAAGGGTTAAATTATTTCTTTTTTGAGTAATCTGTACATGAGATATAGAAATGTGTGTTAACGTTTCCATTAATCGACTCCTTCGTTTATTTGTCAAATTTACTCGTTTTAAAGACGATTTGAGGAGAGATATGTGATGGAATTTCCAGGTAGCTTCAGAAGCTCACCTGTAACCAACATCGACGTCCAAATGTGCAATTGTTTAGTTAAACGACATATGTATTCTTAACGAATGCTGTTGTAAATAATGTAAATATGTACATCAGTTCTATTTTATAATAGGGCCAATGAATTGATTTGGCAATTGAGTATCGTATGAAACTCGATCTATGCTATATGCAGATAAAGGTAAGATAACATTATCATTAAAAAAAAAACAATAAATCAACCTATGTATACCTTAATAAAATTTATGTATTGAGGTACGTTTTTAAATAAGTTCATTTTTTCATTTTTATTATTTCGCACACCAATATCCTGTATTTCTGTAACGTAAAGTATGATTTTAAATTGAAGTTAAGTGGGAAGAGGGCATCTAAATAATAATATAAATATTCTTGTATGATACATATAAAATTATGTTATATAATTTTATAAGTTATCAAAATTTTTTAAGAATATAATGAAGAAAAACAATATATGAAGTTAAAATATATTTTGCAAGTCTAAAATATATAAAATATATAGGACGAGAAATAGTATGAGAGAGATATTATTTCGCAAAAAATAACAAAAGTAAAAATTATCGAAAATTTATTCTTTATGAAATAATTGTGCTAATTTGTCAATAACATATTAAATTTTAATATACATAAAAGAACAGTGCCAAAAATAAGTTTTTATATAAGTACATCTACATAACAAATGGTAATACGGAATCGAACAATAAAAAGAATTTAAAAATTTCAATCAACAGTCACGACATATGATCTAGACATGCAACACTTCACCTATAAGTGTCCAATAACTAGAATCTAAGGTCCCTAATATTTTCGCTTGACTGCCTAGAAATTCTCTATCCGACAGCCAATTGGCGCATCTGACAAATCGGTCATATAACAAGTGAAATATTAGACAAGGGAGAAGAGCATTGAATTTTACTGTACAAAAAGTGCAATTAAGACGAATCAATAAGTATACCGATGCATATTGTGCATAAATAAATACTCTGGAACTTTTCTAGACCAAATACTATATAGGTCACTATATATAATTATACACCAGTAATTAATAAGAATTATTTTATGTGCTTACAGATATTCGGAAGGAGTTTAGCTGATCTTAGCTTTTATCATTATCATAGACATATATTAATTTTATGATCATGACAAAATAATCTAGTTGTCATCCCTCCTATGCCCACTCATTCGTTATAATTATCAAATGCTGTCAAGTGCAATTGAAATAAAGCGCGTTTTATTATACAGTGTAACTTCTAAGAAAGGTCCTACAACGGCTAGTGACAAATTTTGGATCACAATTTTCGTGCTTTTATGAGAAAGCAAATAAAATTTTTGTACAAAGTTCGGTGATGTTTACACTTCGTTTCACAGGTGTGTGCCACATCGCCTAACCTCAATAAGCAGTGCGCGACACAATTCAATTACCGTATTCATTTGTACAAAATTCCTCTCGTCCTTTCGAGCCGAAACGATGGCAGAATGTTACGACAAATTGTCTTGGACGGGTGAGTTGTATGTTTGACATGATGATTAATGTAATCAGTTAAAATGTATGTAATTTCATTTATCTTTGTGTGATATTCTAGCTATATTTTTTTAAACGTTATGTATTCGCACAATATGTGAAACCAAACATGAACAATTGGGTTGGAGCAGATTTTTTTGTCAATTTTGATGAAAGTTTGTCTATATTTATATCTTAATGCATGAAACAGAAAATTAAAAATGGAAATTATTATTTCATATTGCAAAAACGTGACGAATTGTTAAAAATAACATCTTTAAGGTTAGGAGATTGAGTTAGATTGATTAAATATTAGTTATATTTTGCATTGTAATAAACACTTAAGAATTTATTATGCGGTAATTTCATCATAACTTTACCATATTAAGAGAAATCAGCTTGTAAATGTATATTGTTAGAATTTATGACACCTGTCAAAATTGTACTCATATAATTTTTAATCTTTACAATTTTTTATATAGAAGTAAGAGATTTGTTGAGAACTTGGAGAGAAGATTCTGAGCGGCGAAGTAGGGATGTAGTAAACTGTTGGGAAAAGAAATTAGTGAACAAGATTGATCACTTGGGCAATGAAAGTATGATCATCAGCAATGTATATATATCCTGTTATATTTCCAAAACTGTGATTACAATATTATCATGTTAGTGTATAAGTATATATTATTTATTTTTTTGTTATTCAGAATATCTGGTTTTGGAACAAGTATGCGTTGCAGCGTTGGATTGTTACCGTATATCACTAGCAGAATATTGCATTAAAACTTTAATGCTTGCGTTTCCTGGTAGTTTACGGATTCACAAGTATCATGCCATGCATTTGGAGGCATTAGAAATGTAATTAACTATTAATTATTTCCACATATATATCTATACATGTAATTCTTAGTAACCTATATGTATGTATGTATATATATAAGTTTTAGTTTTGATAATATTTTATCAATATATTTTTCTTAGGTATGATGAAGCATTAGAAGTTCTGGATTCTATTATAAAAAGAGATGAAACTAATGCAGCACCAAGAAAACGTCGTGTTGCTATTTTAAAAGCTAGAGGACGTATACCAGAAGCAATCAAAGAGCTTACGGAATATTTGAAAAGGTCAGCAAACAATCTATTATTTTGTGCACATTAGGTACACTTATATTTGAAAATTTTCATTTGTATAATTACAAGATATGTATTAAATTAATAACGTTACATTGTTGTATGACATTATAGATTTATGAGCGATCAAGAAGCATGGCACGAATTGTGCGATTTATATTTACAAGAACAAGAATACTCCAAGGCGGCTTATTGCATGGAAGAACTTATATTGCACAATCCACACAGCCATTTAATTTATCAGAGATACGCAGAGATTAAATATTCTCAGGTAATATATTTAATTCATCACTTTAAATACATTTAAACTCACAAATCGAGCGCGAGTGTGGTATGGTAAACAGCGTACCGGTCTGCCGTGCTTAGAGGTCCCGGTTTCGATTCCCGGCAGAACCAGCAAATTTTCATTCGCTCGTAGCTCCTCTTCAGTGGCCTTAGCAAACCAACAAAAATATTATTCATACCATGAAAAAAAACCTCACTTCAATTGCCGTTCGGAATCGGCGTTTAAACTGTAGATCCCCTATGCATATGTATAATCTGCGTGCGCACCACATGCATACGTAAGAGAAAGGTAGGCCCAGACCTCTACAAGAGGCTGTGTAGCGCCAATGGAAGAAAAAACTCATAAATTAATTCAATTGAGGAAATATATTGTTGAAGCAAGATTGCACATAAATTGGTTGACAAATTCTGCCTTCTTACTTAGGGTGGATTCGATAACATGGAATTAGCAAAGGCATATTTTTGCCAAGCTGCAAAATTGAATCCAAATAATATTAGGGCTCTGTACGGCTTGTTATTGGTAAGTTTCGCGCGAGCGTCGTAACATCACAATATAATATAACAAAGAAATAACAGAGGATTTTTTTTAAACTATGTAATTATTTCCAGACGACAAACAACATCGCGACATCGCCGAAGTGTCCCGCGTCCAAGAAAAAAGAGGCGATCAAGTTGAGTGAGTGGGCTAGTAAACAAATTGAAAAACAATACGAAAATAAGGTTTCGAACGAAGATGTCAAAAACATAGAACGTCTATTAGGACAATTGCAACTTGAAGCTTAGGTACGATTATTTACGTTAATAATTTGTATATTTATTTCGATGTTGTAATTGACATATGTTTAAAGACGTAATAACAATTTCGGGGGAATCATACATGCACGAGAAACTTTCCACATGTTTTTCTAAATCTATGCAGTTAAAAAGAAAATGACAAAACTCTAATCACGATTACATTTCAACGGTATTACCTATTGATTTACTATTGTTCGATTACGTGATATATGTTGGCTTAGTAATTTTATCCAAATTATTAATGTACAATGTAATAGGTTGATGTGGTAGTCAGCGCTATACGTAACTATTTTCTGAATATACATCTACGTTTTTTCGTATCTTACTGTGTACGTTATGAAGTAAATATAACAGTCGTTAATTTTTAAAATTATTATCGTATTCTTGTCTAATAATATATTATTGATTTTCACGTGCCATTAAACAGTGGTTATTTCTGCATATACGTATTTTCGTGCAATCTTTTCATCATTCTCTTTAATTGCGAATGTTAGAGAATGAATCAAGAAAGACGACAGTTGTATGATGTGTTTGTAGTAGTATTAATAAAAATTTTTACACAAAGGGCTGGAACTTTTCTATCAGATGATACGAATGAATGACGAGATCCGACGATATTTCGATAAAATAATTTGTTTTATTGAGAAGTAATTAATTTAGGACACATATAGCATCGAAAGGAAACATTTAATGTTCGTTTCTATATAAAATAAAGCTTTACAGTCATCTTTCAGTAGTTTCTCTGTTACTACGTTCCCAGTCCTCTCGTCTCCTCGCTCTCTCTTCGGTTTTTCTCATTCGCTTCTCTTTTCTCGTTTCCTCGCGTAATGCAAAATATTTTTCACGAAAGTCGACCAAATTTATAGTGACGCTCTCGTCGGTTGCCTGTCATCAAATCATAGAAAAACATTAATATACAGGGTGTCCCAAACTAATTTTGATTCCTGATGGTGTGCAAGTAAAATGAATAAAACTGAAGAGAAAATTCATGTATTATTTTGCAAAATTTGCAATGATTAGTAAGGAATTAATTATTTTATTCAAACTAATGAGCGTACGGGAAGGAGTAGGCTAGATTCTGTGAAAAGAAAAATGGCTTACTTCTGATGATCTAGTAACGATGAATATCAATTGATAGCGAGAGGCGTGTTTTTTTTTTTGGCGCACAGCTCTGTGTCACATGCCGCTTGCTGCTTGCTGCATTACTTCGCCTTTAGAAATCAGTTGATGCTCATCATTGCTACGAGATCTTCAGAAGTAAGCCATTTTTCCTTATACAATGTCTGGTCTACTCTTTCCTGTGCGTTTAGTAGCTCAGACAAAATAATTAATTCCTCACTAACTATTGCGAGTTTTGCAAAATAGTACACTTTTCTGCTCAGTTTCACTCGTTCTACTTATACATCGCAGGAACCGAGATTAATTTGGGACATCCTGTATAAAATTATATCGAGATGAAAAATTTGTTTATTAAGTAAACCTATATATACCTCTGGCTCTTTAACTTTCTTGTAAGTTAACAATCTTCGGCTGGTATAATTGCTCAATATTTGTTCGGAATTAGCTACCAATTCTAAGCAAGGATGCGCTGGTAATTGATCCTCCACGTATTGGTCCCTAATATCACATAAATTAATATTATTTTACTTATAGACAATATAATTTTATGCGTAAATGTTATTTAAGTATATAAACATTAAATAGTAATATTTAATTAGATATTGTTTCACATATTGATCATAGATAAATACCTAAACAACGGATACCAACACACCAATCTGCCATCAAGTTTCAGATGTTTCGCGGAGAAGCACAATAAATCTACGTATATTTGATTAAGGCCATAATCGATTTTAGAAGGGATATGAGAAGTTACTTGATGTTCCTCTATCATTGGATTTAACTTCATGGTACCTATACGCTCCGTGGCTTCCCTTATGCCATAAGGTGCTGCACAAGAAAGTATTTTTCCTGACGTCAAATTTGTACCGTAAAATATGACTTCTCTTGCTCGTGAATCTTACAGAATCCCCGCATTTCATTTATCGAGAATTTTACACAATCTTTTTACACTTACGATCCGTTACAATAGCATCTATTTGTAAGTCTAACCGCCAAAGTGGGTACGAAAAATCCGCTACCACTACATCGAGATAATAGGAACTTGTTCCATATTGATTCATATTCGCTGCGATACTTTCGTCTTTCTCCCTTGTCTAGTATTATACAATTAAAATAATCAGCCGTCCTATATACAGTTTTTGCCTTATTCTATATAATAAATTAATATGATTTCATTTATGCAAGAAATAGTAATCAGATCATTATCCTTTTGTGATATTTGCTTACTACCTTTTGTGATATTCGCGTAGGTCTTGTACGGCCGTGAAGCATCATAAAATCAATATCTGTTCCAAACGTATATCCCCCAAATTGAGATGCAGAAATTAATAAGGAACCCGTCCCCACAAATGGGTCAAAAACTAAATCTCCTTTTCTAACTTGTGCCTGATTCGCCATTATCAGCGATAGCTGAGGATCCATTGATGTATTTCCTATAAATTTCCTAGTTTTTAGTGACAACTTTTGAATTAACTCCCGCTGACCATCCGCAATCTATAATAAAATAATATTAAAGTCTAAGAATGGCTGACATCTAGTTAAATTACTCACCCATCTTCCGAAGAAGTGATCATATGGCTTTTCAGGAATGTTGTTAGGGTCAAGTCCATAATATTCTATATAGTATAAAGTAAAGTCTGGATTTTTTAATTTAACCGGTCCTTCGAGAGGTAAGTAACTGAAAGACTGTTCCGCAAAAGTTAAATTCAAATTTGCATCATTATTACTATGAAAATAATTGTTCTGTTTAAAAAATCCACAAACTCACTTCAATTTTATTTACTTTTTCACATTGCGAGAAATGTTTACAGAAAGTTTCTACTGTAATCTTGAATGATCTTTTATCTCCAACAAAAATCTTGGAATTTTCAACTGAATAAGCTTTCAATGAATTGTGTAAATCCTCAATTTGTTTCCCTTGTGCCCATAATTCCAAACAAAAACGTAACGAGACTGCTCTGCTGGTAATTTTATGTACCATATCTTCATCAGGTAAGTCCACAATCCAATAAGGCTGGAACGAAATTCAATAACTTAATTTTTCAATTTATAATATATTGCTCTTTATTTACTCAAAGAATATTTCAGTCATCAGACATTTTCTTTGCCTGTTACATTAGGTTTGAATGCTCCTGCATAAGTCATGTATTATTTATATAATTCAATATGAATTTAAATATTTATATATTTAGTAGCAACAAGTAATAACAATTTTTTGTTATTTAAGACTTGATGTTTTTTGTAAAGTTAAATATGATGGAATATGATATTTTTAGAAATTATATTTTGCAATAAAACAGGAAATTATATTATCAAATGCAGTTGAACAATACCTCTCACAGAGAAACTGCTCCTAACTGCAAATGATCTATTCCTGTAAGGATTATAAGTGTAATCTAAGAAAAATTATATATATATTAGAATACATAATTAATAGAACTCATTCCTTACATGTTCTTCTGGATTAATTACTGTGCCTAATTTAATGTTGAACAGGTTGAATATAGACTCCATTTCCTAAAATATAATGAATATGAAAGTAAAAAATAATATATATTCATTTTCTTTTCATAAGCAATCTTTTAAACTGTTAAAATAATTTTGAAAAAATATTGTATGTTAAATAACAAGCAAATTACTAAATATAAATATGAAATATAAACAATACAATTGTGTGTAAATAGCACTTTAAAAAGAATTATTCGATTTACAATTGTCAAATATTTAATAAGAACACTTACAGCAAATCGAAAGTCAACATGTTCATGAGCAAACCAAAAAAGATATCTTTTCAATCGATTGCTCATCGCTGACACTATTTAATGTTATATACTGTCACACTTAAATACTGCTTTATTATTGTAGGCAACCAAACATAACCTTATTAACACCATATTCATTCCACTTCTCTCAATTCTGGTTGCAGGTGTAACGTCCCGACTTATTTTGAAACATTAATAACATATTAGTATAGAGCGGAGGCCGACTTGTCTGATTTCAGATATCACTAGGTTAGGTATTCACCATGTATAGATATTTCATCCCTATGTTACTAGATGTAAGTAGGTGCGCATATGTACATTCACGCATGTTAAATATTATAATTAAAATTATAACGCCGAAGAAACGACGTGTCGTTAGAGAGTCTTAAAATCGATGGATCAACTATAGACAAGAGAAACCGTAATCTCTCTATGCGATAAGGCATCCCGCTGCTAACATAAACAGGAGTATGAAACCTGAATCCAAACACCACTCAGGACCGACGCGGCAATATCGACGCGGCGACATCATACCGATGGAATGAATTTCTTCCATCTCCATGAGCCAACCAGAAAACGACTCTCAACGACAAAGCGACATATAAAAACGCGTGCATTCGTTGAGAAGGCGATTATTTTCTCGTAATTAGTCTCTGGTACTCGTGTACTTATATACTTTGGAACATATTAGTCGTAAAATCCGACTGTGTAGCAATTACTTTTGTCTATCCTTCATTTCTCGAATGTTGCGAAATCGAAATTCGGAATCGCGGGCCGCATTAACCCGCGCAGTGCCGGAACATCCGAGACCGAGCCAGGAGAACGAGCGACTCTGATTTCTCGCCAGATTCATCGATCGTTTCGCTAGACTCCGGAGACCCAGGGTAAACTCGGTGAAAAGCAGAGTGACCCAAAAGCGGAGTCATCACTCTGTTGACTGTCCATGTAAGTCACTGATTTTACTATTTTCAAATTTCCCTATATAGTTATCCATCGTAAACGTAACAATGTAATAAATTAGAGTGAGATAAAATATACTAGTCTCATTCTAACTTGAACCAGTTCAGCAATGCAGCTAAAAAGAACGGACCAAATGCTAACGTTACACTAATGTCGTTCGTAGAACTTGCTATAACTTTCTCGTTGCTATCGCTTTCGACGCATTGGACCATCAACTACGTTCCAATATCCGACAACGACATACAACGTATTATAGAATAGGCTTAAGAAATTGTCAACCACAAGTGTCTAGTCACAGTTAATTATTCTCTTCATATTCGATTGTGATTGGTCAATTTCTTAAGGCTTAAAATATCTACTGTGAACCAACACTAAAAAGATAATAATTAATATTATAAATATATTATTTATATTATATTAATATTTTATGCTTTAAGCCTTAAGAAATTGACCAATCATAATGAAATGTGAAGAGAATAATTAATTGTGATTAGTCAATTTCTTCTAAAGCTTAAGGTTTAAAATACCTATTGTGGGCTGACATTAATAGCACTAAACATCCATGTTTTGTTCCTAAAAGTCCGTAATACATTCGATATTTGATTTAACTAAGAAAGAGCATTCTTTCTTACCATCCGCTTATAACTTTAACAATACTAAGTTTATTAGTTTTTAAACATGTTTTTTCCAGGTGAGACCCCGTCTTTATTGACCTACATCGATTGGACGGCACTAGAAAATCACGGCTAGTTGTGGTTGGTGGTGGTCAATTGTAACGTGGTCAATTGGGATCTTCCCTTTGCCATGTTTACTTCTGTATTCATAAGTTACAGATCGCTTTGCGCTCTCTTTAGACGTTCGCGCTCGCGCCCTATCACGATGGGAGAAACGTTTGTAAGCGCGATTTATGACGTCACAAAACGTCATTACGCGTTTTCGATGCGCTCACGATGTCAAAGGGAATGTGAAAGCGATGTTTATAAGCGCTTAAAGCGTCCAAAAAGAACGTACCCCTAGGACTTAGCGCCAGATAGCGCTGAAAACTACCGCTAACTTTTTACAGGAGGGAATTTGTACCCTCTTCATATCAATAGTGAGGTAGGCGGAGTTTGCATAGCCTGGTGTGAGTATCCGGCACCAAAATGGCAGCGAGTGACTCTACTACGGACGATAGTCTTTATCCGATCGCGGTTTTGATCGACGAGCTGAAAAATGAGGACGTCCAGGTAATTTTTGCGACGATTACAACGCGAGCTTATATCGCCTCGTCATCTTCCTCGAAATTTTCTTTCTCTACACCATCTGACTAACGAGCGAGGCATCGAGATAGCGGTGCCCGAAGGAGAAGCTGAAACGTTTTTCACGTTTTTACTCTCGATACATTGGTCTCGATGACAAGTATATGTCGGAATACGTTGATATATATCAAAGGTGTACTATGAGAAAGAGAATTCCGACTGGGGACGAAACTTCAGGTGTTTACAATGAGTAGTTTGCATCATCACTTCCATCGCTATCGATACATTTTACTACAGATAGATATATTATTTTGATGCTCATTACAGCTACGTCTTAATTCCATTAAGAAACTATCGACGATCGCGCTCGCACTGGGTATCGAGCGTACGCGGAGCGAGCTAATACCGTTTTTGACAGAGACTATTTATGATGAGGATGAAGTACTTCTTGCTTTGGCGGAACAGCTCGGTACATTCACTCCTCTTGTTGGTGGACCAGAATATGTACATTGTCTTTTGGTAAGAATGAGTATATATCCTCGACAATACTCGATATAATTCTCAGATTTATATCACTAGTAGAAAGAAAAGAATCTTTTTGTTTTATCTAAAAAAAATAAATATAAATCTAATTTAGCCACCTCTGGAATCATTGGCTACTGTGGAAGAAACTGTTGTACGTGACAAAGCTGTGGAATCTTTAAGGAATATCGCGAGTCAACATAGTCCTGTAGATCTAGAAGAGCATTTTGTCCCATTGGTACAACGCTTAGCTTCAGGAGATTGGTTTACGTCAAGGACATCAGCATGTGGCCTGTTCAGTGTTTGTTATCCACGAGTAGGACCAGCCATCAAAAGTAATTACACAATGAATTAATTTTCCACAAATCTACATTGGATCAATTTTTATGACTAATATAAAAAGATAAACCTAACATTTTTACCAAATTTCAATGTTACAGCGGAATTGCGAAATCATTTCCGCAGCTTGTGCCAAGATGACACTCCAATGGCACGACGATCTGCTGCTTCTAAACTAGGTGAATTTGCAAAAGTCGTGGAAATTGAGTATCTCAAGTCCGATTTAATACCAATGTTTGTTATACTTGCACAGGATGAGCAAGTAAGTACGTTAAACTATTAAATAATTCAGAGATATTTAACTAAACTATAAGATTACATTATGTAATGTAATAATTCTATATAGGATTCGGTTCGTCTTTTGGCTGTTGAAGCCTGTGTCAGTATCGCAGCATTGTTGCAACAGGAAGACGTTGAACAATTGGTCATGCCTACACTTCGACAGTGTGCCAGTGATCAATCATGGCGCGTTCGTTATATGGTGGCGGATAAGTTTACAGACGTAACGTATCTTTTTTTACGTACAATTTTGATACGGAGAAATAATTTGGAAATTTGTCTTATTAAATTGTACTATAAGCGTACTATTTAAATATCTTTTGCAGCTCCAAAAGGCTGTTGGACCAGAAATCACAAAAACTGATCTTGTACCAGCGTTTCAAGTATTATTAAAGGATATCGAAGCAGAGGTGCGGGCGGCAGCCGCTGATAAAGTTCGCGACTTTTGTCAGAATCTTGACCAGTTCAATCAGGAATCCATAATAATGACAAATATACTGCCGATAGTTAAAGAACTCGTGGCAGATCCAAACCAACATGTAAAGTCAGCTTTAGCAAGTGTAATCATGGGACTAAGCCCGATACTCGGCAAGCACAAGTAAGAACAAACGATTTCGACGCAATATTGCAAAGGGTCAATTAATAATCATGTCTGATATTTTTCACAGCACGATCGAACACCTGTTACCTTTGTTCCTATCCCAGCTTAGAGATGAATGTCCCGAGGTGCGGCTCAACATCATTAGCAACTTAGAATGTGTTAATGAAGTTATCGGCATCCAGCAGCTTTCGCAATCCCTTTTACCAGCTATTGTTGAATTGGCTGAAGACTCGAAGTGGCGTGTGCGACTAGCTATTATTGAGTAACTATGGCCATTTGTCTCTTTTTAAATTTCACTGAAGATCAAAGTAACATGCTTGTACTAAAATATGTGAAATTTTAGGTACATGCCGTTATTGGCCGGACAACTTGGAGTAGAGTTCTTCGACGAGAAGCTCAATTCTTTGTGTATGACATGGTTGGTAGATCACGTTTATGCTATTCGGGAAGCTGCTACGTTAAATTTGAAGAAACTGGTAGAGAAGTTCGGACCCGAATGGGCACAAAACACAGTGATACCTAAAGTCTTAGCTATGTCGAGAGATCAGAATTATCTTCATAGAATGACATGCTTGTTCTGTATCAATGTGAGTCATTGCGCCACATCATTGCGCCACACTTAAAATTGGCAATGTAACAATAACAATCATATGTATTTTGATATATGAATTTGCATAATATTTTTAACAGGTTCTAGCTGAAGTGTGCGGCCCGGAGATAACAACAAAGGTGATGCTTCCAACCGTATTAACAATGGCTACTGATAATGTCGCAAATGTAAGATTTAATGTCGCTAAGACTCTCCAACGAATCGGACCTTTTCTTGAGCCTTCAGCAGTCCAGACTCAAGTAAAACCCATTCTCGATAAACTCAACACTGACAGTGATGTAGATGTCAAATATTTCGCTTCAGAAGCAATTGCTGGCATAGCAGGTAAACATATCGCTGTTATATCTCATTAACGCAAAAAAAAAACAAATTACTCATTTATTTAAATATATAAAAGAAACTTTAAGCTCTTTGTGTGTGTGTGTGTGTGTGTGTGTGTGTGTGTGTGTAAATATATACTGGTTATATATATGTATGTATATTATATATATACTGGTGTATATATATACTGGTTATATATATATATATATATATATATATATACATATATATACATATATATATATATATATATAACCAGTTGTCTTTTCTTTTTTCATGATGAGAAGATTACTTATTAATATTTTTCTTAATATTTGGCTTTAATTATGATAATGTTTCAGCGTAGGTTGAACAACACAGAGTGCATTTATCGCTTATCCAACAATATTCAACTTAAATTTGAGAAAAATACGATACTTCACGATACTTCACTTACACATGGCAACAGGTAATATTAATGTAGGACTCGTGGAAAAAAACATGTATTAAGAACTATATTACAATAAATATATAATGCGAATACAATCTCTCGTATGAATGTCCTTTTTTCATCGAGTGACAAACATTGTCTAGCTCTCGCCGATCGCGAATCTGAACGGCTATCTTTGTTATTAGGCGGCCAATAAAAATCGACGGGTAGTTATTTTACAAGACGATCAAAAAATATCCTAACAGCCCCTGGTGTTTCAACATAAATATATTCCACATTTGAAGTACACGTACATATTTTAAAACATTTTTATACAAAATTATTTCAACTTTATTTATATAATAAAACAATTAGTATTGCAACACATTTTAAATAAAAAACTATATATATTATATATATACATAGAGTTGAATATTTAAAAAATACATAATATTGTAATAACATTAAATAATATTAATAGAATATTACAAAATATTTTAAGAATGTGCCTAGAATATTACTTAATATTAAATAATATTACGCGCTTATAAGGTTGAAACACTTTTTGTTGATGTTGCAACATCAAATCTTCGTATTGCAATAATTTTTTTGTAATTCTTCCATATTTTATACTGTGTATATATATATATATATAATTCACGAAGTATGACACGATCACTACTATATAAATATCATGTTTTCACTTATATCCTAAACTAGACTCGACAAAATTCTCTCTACTACGGTTCGAAAACGTAATTAGATTTGCCTGTTAATTATAATTGCTCTTCAAAGCGGCGTGAAATTTCATCTCGCTGCTATAAAAGGGCAAGCAATTCTGTTTCTCGTTGCTGTTGTTGCTGACACTTCTCTCTTATAAATTGCAGTTTCTTCATTACAATATGCATGGTCTTCTATTCAGAAGAAGGCTCTGTCAAGAACTCGCAGTTTTTCTTGGCGCCTCAGTCTGTAATGTAGGAAGAAGTGAAGGAGGAAAAAAGTTCTTCAATTTCATCCACCTCTTCAGATACTTTTCTTAGAATACAAATATTTTAACAGATCCTCGCAAAAGTGAAGATTATTCGCGTAAATAATTTTCTGCGACTCTAGCAGTCCACATATTTCAAAAGTTTCTTCAAACTCTTCCAGCTATCGGCGAGCGTTTTGACCATTATTGTTACTAAATGACTGTATCGAATCTTCAACGTTTTCAAACAATAGTGCTTGTGGCATGAGCTTCCTTTTTGGCGCCCTTGCTTCATGCTCACTCTTTGCACTTTCATTATCCCCGTCCTCGGCATCACTCTTCTCCTCTTCAGCGTTATTTCTATCGCCTTCGTTACGTTGAAAGACTCTCAAATGCTCACATAATACGACTTTGCTGCCAATATGTTCCAAATTCAATTTTCCGAGTTGCTTCTTGAACTTTTCAACCTTCAAAGTGTCTACGTCAATCATGGCTTCATCATAGGCCGTCTTAATGGTTCTTTTCCAACATTTTAACGTTACTTACTAAAGCACTCAAACTCATTACTTAAAAATAGTCAGACTATTCAAACGTTATGCACTGAGATTAACAATAATTCAATATAATTAACTAGTGACATGCTTTTTCAAGAACCCAGACGAGCTCCCAAATGTTGGTAAGATTCGTAAATAAAAATGTGTATTGAAAAATATATTATAATAAATGTATAATACGAATACAATCTCTCACGAACATCCTTTCTTATTGAATCACAAATATTGTTTAGCTCTCGTTTCCGCGGATCTCAGTGGCTTATTATCTTTATTTGTTGCTAGATGACCAACAAAAATTACAGATAGTTATTTTACAAGACAACCAAAGGTGCGTTCGGTTAGAAGCTATTAGCGCTTACGCGCCATTTTATCTTTGTCCCACGTTAAATATACAACAAGGATAAAATGACTCGTTAGCGCTAAATAGTGCTAATAGCGTCTTCCCAAACATGTCTCCCAAAACATTTTCTAGCATTTTCCGATGTTTTACACACTCCACATTGGAAATATACGTACATTCACATATAGTCACACAATCATATTTCGCTTGTTCCTACATTAATACACAGATGAAGCAAACTTTGATAACAAAATATATAAATTATAATTAGTAGATCGCGTTGAATCATATTTTAAGTTTTGTTGTATTTATATGCCTATAATTACTAAGTAATAAATGCAATATTTAACTTAATTAGTAACATGTATTTCTCATGCATACTTAAGAATATATTGTGTGTGTGTGTGTGTGTGTGAGATATCTCAAAAAATAATATAATAAAATATATTTCTTTGAATTATTCCCACAAACAAACACCCAGTTATGATTTACGTTTTCATTTTAACCAATCAGTACCTTGGTCGTTTTAACAAACAATATCTTAAATACACTTTACGTACAATTTTTAAGAAAACGAAAACAAGCTTTTTCTTGTATAATTCATTTTATTTCATAGCCTTTAATATGGATATTTTACATATGGTATTATCACAGCTTATTACTATTATTGTTTAATAAGTTTTGCTATATATTGAAATTTGATATTCGTGATTATAGAACACTGGTACTATATATATGTATATGTGTATGTGTGTGTGAAAACAATATGAATTCATCAAGTTTTATTCGCATAAGGTAGTAAGCATCAATTATCCATCTTTTGCACTGCTCTTAGCTTAAAGAAATAATGATAATTTTACCTTTCCCATCAACTAAAATTTTATTTAATAGTTTTGACTTTTTATTTACGTATCAGAAAAATATAATTGTAAACATAAGTTGTAATCAATAGGTAACTTGTAATTTACTTGACATTATTCTACGGAGAGAAGCATACGATAATATCAATTTTGTTTGTACATTTATTGCATTGAATAAGCGTACTATGGTTGTAGAATTATTTGTTTTCATAGTATATTCATATTTCATATANTCACATTGTATTGTACACTCGTTGTGAACACTTTTGGCTTCAAATAGTTTCGCAAACGAGTGTATTTGCTACATCTCTTGAGCTTTTGAAAAAACTGTTTTACAATATGAGATTATCACTATCAGAAACAATTACGGTAAATCCTCCTATTGAAATCCTTTTCTTAATATCTAATATGGAATTTTTATCGCTTATGGTGTATTAAATACTTGAATTCTTTTCAGAATCATTAGTGCAGCTATCATATCACACAATGACAAATTCATAATTATAACCGCAGATGTTGAAATAAATTCTTATGAGAGATACAAAACTTCCCTTATTATCTTATATACACATATGAACTATATTATGAAGTATATTATCTATAATTTTATATACAGAATGTCTTATAAGTGATGTATTAGACAATCTGTGCAAAAAATTATTCAATACGGAAATAACGAGAATTTTATTAAAATATTTATTATTATTCTGTTATAATCTGTACAATATTACTACAATTATCACATTTTAAGTGCTAACCTTTTTTTTAGTCACAGTATAACTGAAATATTTCATATCAAACTATAGTACTATTTAATATACTTCATAATAGCAAAATTTTATTTTATATGTGGCTATACGAATTTGTCAATGTTTTTTTTGTATTTAATCCAATGCTTTTTTCATGTGTTTTTGATATCAAGAAAAATATGATAACAATAAAAAGAAAAATCAGGAAATATAATTTACCAATCTATTTTGCCTCATCAGTATTTATGAATGCGTATTTAAATATATATTATTGATCGATTACTTATTTGTCTTAGTCTGGTCTTAACAAACTATACGTATTAAAGAAAAGGAATTTCAGNGACCTTACTAAGATTAATTTTCAAAAGACGCCAGCATTTTTTAATTATTACAGCTACTTATACTATAATTTATACTTCGATTTCATAAAAAGTTTCAGGTTTGGTACATTCAAATTTTGTTGCAGTACAAAATATAAAATATATCATTAACATAATATCAACACCTAACGAAAAATAACTAATAAAGTAGCTGTAAACTATAACATAACTTGTCCGTATTTATAAGACCTTATAAATATTACTTAATGTAAGATATATGAAACTTATACAAAACTTCGACTTACCATTTAAAAACGTTTAATAGACTAAATAATCAGGAGATGTAATAAGAAAATTTGGCATATCTTCTCTATGAATCATTGATCAGATATTGATAAAAAATGTAGACACAATACATTTGCTTTCAGCGTGTTCTATAAACACGAAGATATATAAAACTTCTGAATAAGAACATACTATATCTTAATAACCGTCGCTATATACATATGTTTGAAGAGCTAACCGATCTACACTACCTTTTACTTTTCCTATCTTGAATTTGTTTCAAGCAGGAAAATACCTATGTTTTGTAAAACAATGGCTATGTTCAGCAGAGAAAGTAGCTCAGCGAGCACTTTACGATTATTGCTCTTGATTGGTATATTCTCCTGGATCATTTTTCTGGATTCTTTTATCAAAGATTTAAAAGAATACTTCAATCACAAATAATAATCACTAAGCATTCACTGAGCTACTTTTTCCACTGAACGGAAAATGGCAAGTGTAAATTATATCGTAGCCATGTCTGATTTAGTCAGATCTACGGAAATCGTATGACTAATTGTCGCAACATGTGCACTACTCCCACTGCTCTCACTACCGCTATTGACAATATTCAACGACGAGATTTTAGCCCGTTGATATGCCACAACAGTGTTCAAGCCCAAGAATCTGCAACAAAGACTCTTATTAATTGTACAATGCACAATGCTGACGACAATACCGTCGATATTGTAACTTCTCATAGATTTAGCTATGAGTTTTCTACGTACCTTATGCACACGTATATAATCAATAATGCAGCGGCAGCAGCGAGCGTTCTGATAATAGGCGCCTCTACAAGTTGAATAACTATCCACGAGGCAGCAGAGGACGCGCACATCGTCGTAACAATAGCGATCGTTTGTAAACAGTGACGTGGTGTCAAACCATTTTGCCAATCCAATCGGCTTGCATGCTCAACGTTATAGTTTGTGCCACAAACTTTGCAAGTAAGACTGTCAGCATTTACAGAACTCTAAAGGAAGGAAAAAAATAAACGTGTAAAACACGATCAAAGTAACATACCAGACACTCAATTCAACAAATATGTAAAAAAAAACATTTTACCTCAACCAGCCAACGACGAAGACAATCGTGATGTACAGCGCTCACATCGCCTCTGCATTGACACGGTTGTATTAACGGACCAGCATCCTGTCTCTCACTGTCATAACAAATCCAGCAATCCTTACTGTTAATCGACGTTGCATCTGTAAGAAATGCAGTGTCTTGGGATGCGCCTTTCTCTTGTAATTCTATTTCTTTTATATGTTTCCCCTGATCCAGATCCAATTTTTTCAAAATTCGCTTTGGATTTAAAATCCACAATTGCTCCGGACTGAAACAAGAATAAAAGACGTGACATGATGAATAAAATTTATGCTTTACAGAAGAATATATATATATATATATTCTTCTGTAAAGCATAAATTTTATTATCCATATATATATATATATATATATATCCTACTCCTATTTCCCGTATCCGGGCGTGGTGACCTCTCTCATATGCCTGTGGTGCGCATGCTGATTATACACAGGCATAGGATCTACAGTTTAACGCCAGTTCCGAACGGCAAATTTTTAAATAGGCGTTCACATGACAAAGATACCTACTTCGGTAGGTTGCCACTTCTTTCCGAGAGGAGACACGAGTGTAAATATTTTGGTTACTACCGGGATCGAACCCGAGATCGCTAACGCAGTAGGCCAGTGCGCTGTCTGCTATGCCACATTCGCGCTCATATATATATATATATATATTGCCTTAAAACATATATGTTTATATAAAAAAATATATACGAGTTACAAAACATACCTCATACAATTCCATAAGACACAGGGAAACCACAGTGCTACGCCAACTTCAATAACACGGAACACGACATCATGCCAGTTTCTGCTGTATAATGGCACCCTATAAATATGAGAATTACTGTATGCATTACTTAAACGCAAAAAAGAAAAATTTATACTTATATAGGTCTCCAAATTCCCTTACTTCGTTTTCCAAAATTCACTGAGGGTTTCACTAAATAGAAAACCGACTATTATAAATAGCATAAATGCTTGTGAAAGTAATCCAAATCTAGACTGATGCAATTGAGACATGTTCACTTGTTGCATATGCAAAGACTCTGATGTAGATGGAACTGGATCAAACAATTTTGCGGTTACTTGCTCCTCAGGATGAACTTTCGTATCGTCAGCTATACGTTTATTTGTTGCTATAGAAGCAACTTGGTATTCATTCAAGAATCCGCCACGAATCTAACGATAAAGTGTTGTAAGTAAGAATATAAAAATTAGGAATATAAAAGTTATCATGGAAAAATTATAATATATGAAAAGGGACATACTTTGAAAAACACTTCAACTCCATATATCAAGAAGAAAACCACCACTATAAACAGTAGTACAGCATAACAACCATTGAAGACGTGTGTATAAAAACTCTAGAATAAATATAAAATATTTTATGTGTAAATATTATTGAAATGCATAGTACGCGCGCATGCGAATCAGTGAAATATTATTGTAATAAACATAAACCGTTTAGCACTACTTTCAATTATGTTACTTACTTGATCTTTGGGCGAATACATCTGAGCTGTGATAAAGTCCGCAAGTAAAAGAGAATACGTTATTATATTGAAAACAACAAAGGCCAAAAAAGATTTGGACAAAAACTGAGGCTTGTCCCATCGAATATCTCTTAGATGAACGACCTCGGCCCAAAAACAGACGATCAATGATGATCCACTTAGGAGCAACGGATAATATGCTGACAGTAAACTTCTGGACCAACCCTCCTTAAAGGCAGTCTATAAAGAATTAAGAATGTATCAAAACAGATAGATGGTGTTCCTTTTTTTTCTTGAAATAATAATTTATTTATATACCGGTGACGTAAAGTATGCGCCTCGTATAATTGATGCAAGGAAAACCACAAAGTATAATACTTTCTGAGTAGTAACCCTGCATGCTCTTAAAAATGATGGTGCCTTCATTCTTTGCCATTCAGCAACAATGCACATGACGAGTTGTATTAAACAAACAAAAGCTAATATGAAGAACATTGTAGCAAAGGCAATGTAATAACTTAAATTTGGAATATGGCACTCTGGTCCATCAAATTGGATCTGAAATAGAATGAAAATTGAAGATGGTCTTGAAACAATATAAAAACAAGATAAGAATGTTTAAACTGACAAGAGCTCTTTACCTCGCATAAACATGTCCCATTATGACATTCTCCATGACCAGAACAATTTTCTGTGCCACAACTATTGTTCCAAGCCATCATACCAAACTTAACTAATAAAGACAATGGGTTTTGTGTACTTAATGCGATCACTTGTTCCATGATCGCTGGATATAGAGCAACTGCTCTGGTACAATTTTCTCAAAAGCTGATTCACAAAAGAAAAAATAATTTATATCAAATATATAATTATATCAATAAAAACAAATTACATTTTTAAATATATATATGCAAATTACAAAAAATATTATTAAATTATTATTTTTTTTTAATGATAGGTACTCTATACAGTAGACTCCCATATAACGCGAGTTCTTACAACGCGAATCCCTATAACGCGCCAAAGATATTGCAATTACTGTTTTCATATAATATACGCAATTCTTCGTACAACGCGCCGACTTCTTCTATTTCATGTTGTTTTGTTTTTTGACGCGGTCACTCTTAATATAACGATAACGAAAAGTATTTTTCAATTAAAAAAATTTTTTAAAAACAATACATAAATTTATATAATTATATTTTTATTAAATTTCAATGAAATATAAGATTTTTTAGTTGGCATAGCAATAATCATATATATATTTATATATTTATACATTTATATATATAAATTAAGAAATTCTTGAAATTAGTATGAAAAAATATCAAAAGATTATTAAAGTTTCAGGCAACAAATTTGCTACGGCCTTATATATAATTTTACAACTATTTCAATGAAGTATTTATTATAACGTATAAAATAATTAAATTTATTAACAGACTAGTCAAGATAGACTAGTTGCCATAAAACATGATTACATCGTTTGACTTTATCAACAAAGACACAAAAAATATTAAAAGATATTCAACAATAATGATGAATAAAAAAAAACAATACTGAGGGATGTTACTTGGATGACAGCCCTGGTGAAAATTCTTTTTCTGAAAATTTCTGATTGTCTCTAAAAATGCAGATGGAGATAAAAATAAAAATATTGTGACTATATTTTTTATAGAATAATTCTTAGTTTCTTAGAAAGAAGGAAAAAATATTTTCTTAAATATTTCATTATAAAATTTTTCAGAGAATGTTAGACAAAATATACTCAGAAAGTATCAATAAAAATCTGATCAATTCATTTATAATTCGGAGTAATTTTGAGTAATTCAGAATAATTTCGAATAATTCAAAGTATTTTTGAGAATTCTGAGAAAGTAAAGTAAAATAATTTTTAACTTCCACATATTTATAATGATAAATTCTAATTATACATTTTTCTCAGAAAATTTCAATATTTTGCAAAAAAATATTTAAAGAAAATAAAAATATTTTGGAAAATATCAGAAAATAGAAATTTTTAGAAAAATACAGTTCTTCAGATTTAATCAGGAAAATATTTTGTCCGATTTTTTCTGTATTTCTCTTTAAGTATTGCAATTTATAAACTTTTTCAGAGAATTTCAGAAAATTATTTCCACCAGGAAGCAATGATATCGATTAGCGTATTCCTAGATATCATATATTTGGATTTCACTCAGGAGACAAATATGCATAATGAGACAATAACTGATAACGAACAACAAATATTAGATGCATTCTAACAAATAGATTCCTCTGATCTGATAGAGAAATGGACTCCTCCGTACGGAGGAGCAAACCTTCCTTCTCACTGACTGACCGTTTATCCGATCCAATGTTGCATGTACGTTCTCCCCGCGCGATATACCGAATCTCCTTCGCAGTGCGAAGTGAGTGCAAGCGTACGCAATGACGCCAAGACGAGTGCACTCGTTACATTAATCAGCTGTCACTGTTGGTTGTTCTGCAACGAAAGATCGTCGTCGCAAGATTAACACGCCGAATTACATGTTGATCTCGATAACGCATGGACGTAAACGATACACTAGAGAAGTAATTGCGTCACATACGAATGATAACATGGCGCGGATAATAAAGAATCTTCTCGCGACACCACCTCCGTCAACCTTCAGACCCCGACGAACTCTTAGCTTCGCAAGAGTCCACCTGATCCCCCACCAACGAAACGACCATCAATGACGTAAACATAAAGCCCATATCAGACTGCCTCCCCATGCAGCGTAACTTGCTTAAGCGCAACTTGCGTCAGCCAATTAAATCGCTCCAATTACCCAATTACCAATTATCACGGCGAGTTTGATTGGCTAACACAAGTTACAATTACACAAGTTACGCAGCATGTGAAAGCACCCTAAGAGTACAGATTAAGATTGATTAAATTAAAATTTGGCCAATCAGAGCAAGATTTACTAAATATGAATTTAGTGAACTTTTCTCTGATTGGTTAAATTTCAATCCAATCTCAATCCTAATACGTTATCTGAGACGACCATAAGGTCTAGTTTCAAAACGGAACATTGGCATTTAGCAGAAGGTTCATTTAATACTATTGGAAATTTCTACTGCTGAGATTGGATTATCCCTCTATAATCTATAAGAAATCTATAAGAATAATCCAATCTCAACTTGGAAAACTTCAACAGTTGCAAAATAAACGTGGTTCAGCGGTTCGATTCTTGACTTAAGCCAGCGACACAAGATGCTTGTTTTTGTGCTGGATTGTTTGCTGGATGGAAATATTGCGTTTTGATTGATATATTGTCATCCATTTTTTTAAATACACCAATTAGAAAGCAATATTTAAATCCAGCACAAAACAAGCATCATGTGCCACTGGCTTTATTCGTAAAGCTCGTATCAGCCTACGGATTAAAGATTAAGACTGAATTGAAATTTGGTCAATCAATGCAAAGTTCACTAAATTTCGTTAAACATAAATTCACTTAACTTTTCACTGATTAACCAAATTAAATTTAATTTCTATTCCCAATCCCTAATCTGAGAGCGAACGTGGTGTAGCACACAGCGTATTGGTCTGCGACACTTGCAGGTCCCGGATTCAATTCCCGTCAGAAGCAGAAAAATATATATACACTCGTGTCTTCTCTGGACATTCTGACCAGACTATATTTGTTCAAAGAACCTCTTGCAAAATATGCCGTTTGGAGTCAGCGTTAAACTGGTAGGTCCCATATATCTGTATATAATCTGATACGGGTTTAACTATTCGTATATGTAACTTACGAGTAATACCTAATCAATGTATAGTTTTTACGAAAAAGCTATTGGATATCATTCGCAAGTTACATATAGAAATAGTTATAAATGATTCAAGAACTGAATCCCAGGTTACGTTCTCTTTGGGCGCTTACACGCTGTAAGGCAGAATTTATATCTTCGCAGTAGCAGCCGATCAGAACTCACGCTGGTTATAAGTTAAATAAAATAGTAGTTGAAGCAGAAATTGTTGACTACCAGCACGAGTTCTGATTAGTTGCTGCTTCTCTGCTTTTTACTTTTCTGTCAAGATGTGAATTCTCTTTTACAGTGTTGTCAAGTTGAAAGGTTTAGTGCAGTTTAGTTACACTTCCATGATATTTGCATTTTCCTATATATTTCAAAATCATTGATGCTTTTTCAAACATCGATGTTGCTCATTGAAGATGCATCGTACGTCGAATTTGTCGGATGTGCCGATTGGCTATTGGATAGAGAATTTCTAAAGTTCCTAACATTTCTTCTAGATGTAATATCATTCTCAATGGCTCATTAGCGTATCGATGTTTCTTAAACACCGATGATCTTGCCCATCTTTAATATAAGAAAAAAGATAAGAAAAAATTTATAAAGATAAGCGTGGGAAATACAAATGAAAAGAACAGAGAGTCAATCATGGATCTTTTTCTCTAACGTGAACTCGTGAAAAGCGAACATTTCTATATGCTCTAACATTAAAAAATGTCCACCTTTCACGAACTCAGGCTAGAGAAAACTATTTGATCAACCTCCAATGTACATGCACATCTCATTACGAATACAAAGGTGTGACCTTAGACATAGAGTGCGTTCGAGGAGACACTATTTAGCGCTACCGCGTCATTTTATCTTTAACATTTTTTACGTGTACAATAAGGATAGAATGACGCAATAGTGCTAAATAGCGCCTCTTCAAACGCACCCATAGTAAGAATAGATCGAGCATAAAGCGCGAGAACTGAAAATTAGAAATAGAAGAATAGAAAGAGGACGGACAATAGGTGTCGTGTAGCTTTGTCTCTCTGAGGAAAGAGTGGTGAGAAAGAGGGGTAAGAAAGAATGAGCAGTAGCTGAATACTCGATTGTTCACACACAAGAAAAAGTTATATGATAATGAGAAAATTAGTGGCGCGTGAACTATTGAGTATTCAGCTGTCTGCTCACTCTTGTACCCCTCTTTCTCCCCACTCTTTCCTCATTAAAAAGAGAAAGCTACATGGCACCTATTGTCAGTCTTTTTCTATCTTCTGATCTTCATTGATTACTACAGGACATGCTCGGTTTATTCTTACTTTTCTATGGATGTGACATAAAGTGCGGATTACAAATGCTCCAAAAGGCCGTATAGACTAATCATAATCTTTCTTTAACACGTTCATTGCCAAGCTGATAATTGGAATTTCGTGTGGTGGCCAAATTTTTTTAATTTTTTTATTTAGTTTTTATTGTGCTCAAAATAAGTTAATATATTATTTATATGCTTTTATTATTATGTACATAAAATTTATGTATTCTAAATATCTATTACGCGATAACGCGTGATCGTGATTTGGTGAGAACTCGCATCACGCGATATCGCGTGATTGGCAATGAACGTGTTAAGCGTTACAAAGCATTTGCTACGTGGGTGCGTTCGAGAATGCGTTATTAGCGCTATTTAATGCTAAAGACTTGGAGATAGAGGATAGTACTAACAAATGCAATCATAACGTCATTATGCAACCGGAGATTCAGCCGCGTAAGGGAGCGCGGCTGATCGGAAGAAGAGGGATATCGCATGAGAAGCAGAAGTTTTTAAAAAGCCAAATTGAAAGCAAGGAACGCACGTGCCCGGGAACCGCGTGGGTGAGAGGCAATTGGCCGGAATGAGAGACGAGCGAGGGGACTGGAGGAGACCGACGATGGCCGCGCGCACGCCTGCGCGAGACATCGAGGCGCGACTGCGATTGGCCAAAACCGACAGCGAATCAGGAAATATCGCGAAAGGTAGAGAACGTTTGAAATTGAAGAAGTAGCAAGTCAGGCAGTGGCAAGCGGACACTGGAGGCGATAGGACGCATAGTTTAGAAAGCCCGGAACTGCAGAGACGAAGAAGACGAGGGATCCTCGAGAAGTTGCTGCCGAAGGGGAAAGCCTGCGAGGACGGCCTGGTACGCACCTGCTGGTGAAGGCCCAGGAGACGTGGGAGAACGACCGGTCGCCGCTGCGACGGTAAGTGGTGTATAAGATTGCCACAGTTCCTCTCCGCGTAATCTTCCCTCTTCCCGGAAACCCCACGTCGGAAATCCGAGACGTCGCACGCGTGAAAATACGCGGATCGCGACGTAAGTACACGGAATCGGAGAATTCCGCTGGGGAGAAAAACCCGTCGTCGGCGGGATCAAAATGACGGCTCAACGCGCTGACCGACGCGAATTGCGTCACCTTATCGCGCACGGCCGATCTTATCGGGACTTGCTCACAAGGGATATACGCCGCAATAGAGCGACATAAAAGAAGCCGCGACGCCGCGTTGCGATACGTTTTCTTTATCGGCGTAATTATTCGTGAAATACTTCCGTCTTACATATATATGTTATTTTGTTACTTAGATTACTATATACTTTTGTGTCGTCCGTATTATAATTTTTCAGTGTTTATCCTATTGTCGTTAGTCGCGTCGTATTATACTTATTACTCGTATGTACAGATTTATTTCGTATTTCCTACGTGCGTTAATTGTTATCAAGTCTATCATATTATTCTGTTTTTTATTTAGTTTTACTTTAAGTCCTTATAGTATGTATAAATCCGTATTTTTTGTTAATCCGGTTATCATTAACCATTTTGGTAATTTTCTTTGATATTACAAATAGATTTCATCTTATCTGTTTAAAGAGTAAGTGTTTCCTTTTTTTTTTGCGTGTTTCCCATTTTTCATACTATGGGCCGCTGACGGGCGTCTCGTGGCTCGGACATTCTCTTCGGAGATGATAGCGCTGCCGGGGAGGGAAATCCCCTCGTGCACAACTTATAATACGGCATATCTGGGACTTGGCCGGTCCAGCTTCCCGAGCCTGGAGTTTGGGCGTAGCTCTCAAAGACGCCCTGGCGACGGGCCGTGGACGGGCAGTGGGATCCATGGGGAACTTCATTTCGAAAGGTTCAGCGGGACCTGGATGATTAAACGTCGATGTTTTCACTCAGCTAGTGACATCCGGTCACAACTAGTGGTAGTGTATTAAACAAGCAGCAAATGATACTTGTTTTTGTGCTGGATTGCTTGCTGGATAGAAATACTGCGTTGTGATTGGTGCATTTCCAAAAATGGATGACACTACGCCAAACAAAACACAGTATTTCTGCCCAGCAAGCAATCCAGCACGAAAACAAGCATCGTGTACAGCTGGCTTTACATCATAACTGTATACTACAAACGCTATTTCTTCCAAAGTAGTGTAATGATAGTGTAACGTCCGGACTTATTTTGAAACATTAATAATATATTAGTATAAAGCGGAGGCCGACTTGTCTGATTTCAGATATCACTAGGTTAGGTATTCACCAGGTATAGATATTTTATCCCTATGTTACTAGATGTAAGTACGTGCGCATATGTATATTCGCGCACGTTAAATATTATAATTAAAATTATAACGCCGAAGAAACGACGTGTCGTTAGAGAGTCTTAAAATCGATGGATCAACTATAGATAAGAGAAACTGTAATCTCTCAATGCGATAAGGCATCCCGTTGTTAACATAAACAGAAACATGAAACCTAAATCCAAACACCACTCAGAACCGACGCGGCGATATCGACGCGGTGACATCATACCGATGGAATGAATTTCTCCCATCTCCACGACTCCATCAGCCAACCAGAAAACGAATCTCAGCGACAAAGCAACATATAAAAACGCGCGCATTCGTTGAGAAGGCGATTCTTTTTTCGTAATTAGCTTTTGGTATTTGTGTACTTATATACTTTGAAATATATTAGTCGTAAAATCCGATTGTGTAGCAATTATTTTTGTCTACCCCTCATCTCGAACGTTGCAAAATCGAAATTGGAATCGCGGACCGCATCATCCCGCGCAGCGCCGAAATATCCGAGACCAAGCCAGGAGAACGAGCGGCTCTGATTTTTCACCAGATTCATCGATCGTTTCGCCAGACTCCGGAGACCCAGGGTAAAAGCAGAGTGAACAGCCCTCGGTGAAAAGCAAAGTGACCTAAAAGCGGAGTCATCACTCTGTTGACCGTCCACGTAAGTCACTGATTTTACTACTTTCAAATTTCCCTATATAGTTATCTATCGTGGACGTAACAGTAGCATATAGCCCATATCAAACTTGGAGATTGGATTGGAGATTGATATTAAATTGAATTTGGCCAATCCGTACAAAGTTCACTGAACTCAAGTTTAGTGAAATTTAGTGAATTTTGCACTGATTGATAAAATTTCAATTCAATCTCAATCTCTAATCCGTAGTCTGATACGGGCTTTAGTAGTGTTTACGTTTATAACGCTAATAGTGTATCCCCAAACGCATCCCGTGTCGTGAACTCTAGCTACAGTATAACTAAAAAGAACAAACCCCAGATAGTATTTTAGAACAGTACCAAAGCAGCACGGTCTGCTGTAACTTTATTGAACGTGTGGTCGATATTCTTCTAATTGTCGAAATATTGTGTAGATTCAGCCGGATTCAGTTGTAAACACGAACGAAATCATTCGAGGCAAGACATATTCGCCTTACAAAGTTATTCGTATCTTACGATCCATAAAAGTAGTTAACCTCCTTCGGAAAATAAACCACTAAGTATACTTCTGGAAACGTTATATAATATATATATATATATATATATATATGTCATATATTTCACGAGACAGTGTGTAAAATATCGAACTATTTGAATGTAAATTATATTTTTTGTGTAGTCGTACTATGGCGCTAATACGTTCATAAAAATATTTTAATTAACTTAGAAAATGGGGAAATGTTGTGTGCTTTTATACCAAAAATCAACAAATCCGACAAACAAGTAACCTATGCCGGAAATTTAACAGCAAAAGAGATATATTTTGTTGGTTACACTACGCAGTTTTGAAATATAGCTTCTGTATTTTCACTAAATTAAAAGTTATAGTTTCAGTAGTATAAAATATTTATCATATGAATAGATATAAATTCAAATAAGACCAGTTTCCATATGAATAGAGAGTTTTGCAAATTTCAGATGTCTGCAGCAAAGCCTCAGCTCCGTGGTCTTCTCACTTCACAAATAAAAAAGAATTTTATAGGAATGACGATAGTAAGTTTCACTGCAGCCGGAGCATACAGTATACTTGTTGCTGAACCTAGGAAGCAGAGATATGCTGATTTTTATAAGTATGTGATATTTGTAATTTCAAGTGCCTCTGACACACGTTTCAATTTCATTTTAATACCTTGTTATATATACCTTGTTATATTGTATTCATATACAGTGTTAAAGTTATTTGGTATTTTATTAAATTTGTTACATTGCAGAACCTACGATGCGGAAAAACAGTTGAAGATAATGAACGAGGCTGGTTTTATGCAATCTTATGTTCCTGGTAAAAAATGAAAATAGGAAAATCGATGGATATCTAAGGAAATAAAGGATAGTCTTCTTCATAATTATTACATATATATAATGAATAAATAATTTGAAGTAGTATGTGTACAAGATATTTCTCGCAAATTGTAAATTTAACCCACACAATTTTATCATAGCTAAACATATTTTATGGTGCGGAAGATATACATTAGGTATACATTATATAATAATGTATATCTAATGTAAAAGCGATATATTCTTGCAAACAAATTACTTTTCCATAATAATAGTGATTTTAATATCAGTCGTATACCGATCTAATAAAAAATTCGACAGTCAAGCTGGATCATTCCTTAACCATTTCATAGGTGACATAACGATACATATTTAATATTCCGATTCTTTATTATTATCCCATTTAATTTGCGGCTTTGCAATAGCCTTCATATTTAAATATTTTTATCTAGTTCTACGAAGGATGCGGAAAGTCGTTTTGCAATGATAAGTGAAATTCCACTCATTATATAGAAGGAAGTGTCATATTAACATATGGCAAAAATATGGTCGAGCCTATCAGTGATACTTCACATTGATAAAATGCAAGACTCCCGTATAAACGACTACGGATGCTGTCCCGTTGGGCAGCTCGGAAAGCTCGGAATTTGAGGTTAGGGCGTGTGTGTTAAAACGATCGGCAAGATGGCGCCCCGTGAAAATACCCAACATGCACCGCGCAATTGATTTGCGCATGTCAGTTGGTCGCATTGCAAATGGCGGCACCTTGTTATTGTTCATGGCGTTTTATGACTTGTCTCTTTATATTAGCGATTATGCCGAGTTTTTTCGCGATCCCTGCCGCGCGCTGTGTGCTGAGAGTGAAGTAAGACTCGCGCGGTGTGTTTTAGGTTAAGACTAGTGTCCGGGTGGTGCGCCTCCGTGCTGTACGGACGCGAGAGATCGCGCACGGAGTCAGAAAGAAATGGGGTAACGTTGAAATTTTCCTATGTTCATACGGTATCAAATCCGCGCTGCGCGACGACTGAAGTGAGGCTCGTCCAGCGGACTGTGTTGCTCACCGCCCACTGAACGACCGTGTTCGTTGCGTATAACGCGTGCTGTGCTTAACACGGCAGCCGCGGGACGGGCCAAATAAAAATGACTCCGACTTTTGACGGTCTATCTTGAGCATGCTTGAGCCCACTTCACTCGTACCTCCCCCGACGGACAAAATGGTGGCCCCCCGATGTCCGACGGTCTGGATGCCGTATTTCGCCGAAAATCATTACGGCGTCCGTAAGGACGCGCGTCTCGCCCTGAAAAACTGTCGATTCTTGTCGGCACGCTCGTCCGCGTTTCGCGCCCAGCCGAAAAAATCCGCTCTATAACCTATTTCCCGAGCGCAGAGCGCACGGTGCCCCCGAGCTTGTGCGCCAGAAGATTTTAATTGCTGTTCGCGAACGGCGAGCCGAACCTCGGGGATCTGTTTCGTGATCACGCTCGGCGCGTACGTTCAGCGAAATAACGACAACGAGGAGCCGCCGACACTCGGGACACGTTCGCAGAAGTCGTCCGGGTTTCCCGGAAATCGCGCACAGGCTATAACCTAGTAATTCCTCTAGGCCTCGCTTTTTGTTTATGCGCTTGTGTTTTTGTTATTTTTTTTTCTTCAGCATTCTCGCACGATTAACCGTATCGATTGTTAAGTAGCACTGCTTTTTGCAATTAACAGTAACTCCTCCCTTCTATTACTGTTAGATAATTATCTATATGCTGTATAATCGTGGAGGGCTTCTTTGCGCTTAATGGGTTCATGTAATAAGTCTAAAATTTATTCCCTTGACAAATACAATTTGATATATATTAACTATTGTTGTAAAAAAAATATGCTTCTATAGAAAAAATATATTTAGGTGTATGTTATACTTGTATGTTAGAAGCTGGATTTGCTAAATAATACTGTATCATATTAGCTAGCTGGTATATATATATATATATACACACATATGATTGTTTTATCTTGTTTTTTTTCTTTTTTGCTGTTAAATTACTATGATTTTGACTATAGGCTGAAAAAATAAGATTAGAAATTTCTTATTTTTTATAATTTTTCATATGCTTTGTTTAATTATTTATATTTATATGTAGTAAAAATGTTCTATATTTCTCTGTGTGTGAAATTGAAAACTCTGAAATTATCGCTAACTTTTTGTTATCTTCTATACTTTCCCAATATTATTTTTTTATTATAATATATCTTTGCTGTATTTAAATGTTTTTTATGGTGTTATGTTGTTTTAACCAGCATATGTTTTGCTAAATTATATATTATATATATATTGTATTGTAATATAAAAACTAATATATTCTTATATATAAATTATGGTCCTCATATCTTGCACTTTATCTTACCTGCATATATTAAATATGTTATATTGCTTAAAAATATTTAATTACAATATGTATAATACAATGTATGTTATGAAAGAAAATACATTTTAACATGTTAGTGAAATGTGTTTTTTATACAGCTTATTTATTTCAGTTTCTTATTTGTCTAACAGTAAGCAAGATTATTAGTGCTGGTGTGATTTGGAGCTGTCGGTGTGCAACTGGCAGACAACATCTCATCAGACACATATTGGAGCAACACCCTGAGGCGTTCCTAGACTCCCTGGGTAGTTATGTGATTTGTGGTTGGTATGTATTTTGTTATATATAAACATTATATGATTTCTATACTAATTATATCTTTGTACCAAACTTAAGTAGAAGATATTTAATATGATTCAAGTTGACAAAATTTATTAAATATCATTAAGCAGATTTATATTTTATAATTTTAAAACAAGTTATTAGATTTACAGTTTTTGGTACTGTATTTATACTAAGAAGCTATTTCTCAAAGAATTTTATATAATATATAAAAAAGCTAAATATGTGAATATTATATATATTTTATTGAAAAAATGTACATGCACGCGTACACACACACACACACACACACACACAAATTTAAATGTAAAATTACTCATTCTATTTTAATTACATAGTTTATGTAGCAGTTTGCGAACAACTTTATTAAGTATGTCTACTGATCCAATATTCATAACATTCATAGAAATAGGATAAACCACCTCTCCTGAATCCTTGTATATTTAATGCTACTCCTAACCTCTCTGCCTCTTAATCTTTCCATAATTCTTCTCCAGTTTACTTTAAAGTTTAACTCATTTATTATCATTAGTATCAAACATTGCCATTTTATTAGTATGTCAACATTATTACAAACTTTTAGAATCCAATATAGAATATAATTATTATATTTGCTCATTTTATATATATGACATATTTGACATTTTTCTTGTTATATTTCTTTTATATTATTATCATTTTCTTTTCTATTCATTCGCACTATTATTGAGATAATATTAATAAATAATGAATATTACAGTCATGGCGGCAGATAGTGATGGTGATCTGATTGAAACGGTGGTAACGTGTGAGGGTGACCTTGGAGACCCGGAGTTTCCCGAAAAGTTTAACACCATTGTTGACAGTCTCAAAGCTTTGCTCAGTAAAGGTAAATCTGATTTATAATCGATTATATTTTAACCGTACATTTAATTAATAATTATTAATATTTAAATAATAATTGTTAACAAATAAACTATATTTGGTTCATTGTATGACTTACAGAAAAGGGAGAAGAGCTGAAAGTGAGCAAGGTAGAGCCATGGAATTCTGTCAGGGTAACATTTTCAATACCCAGGGAAGCTGCTCTACGGCTTCGAGAGTTAGCAGCTCAAGGTTCTCCTACACTCACACAGCTTGGCATACTCTCAGTCCAAGTCGAAGGAGATCAGGTAATTTATATATTGTAAATGTTCTAATGATATTGTTCTTTTTGCGGATTGTAATGAGATAAATAAAAGATTATATTATAATACTCATTATATTATGCTTTTTTACACAGGTAATATCTTTGAGGATCGCCAGTCGTTTTGGTGGAGATGCACAGGAGATAGTGCTACATTCGGGAACCACGCAAGATGGCGGAGCAAAGTCACAAGGCGACGCTACTAATAATACAGCCATTGCTGACGCTAATCCTTCGACAGCTTTGCCTGGTCCTAGTAATGCCACTACCATTTCGTCAGCGCTACGTAATGTCGCCCAGATAATAGCAGCTGGTAAGCTTATATATATATATATATATATTTGTATATATGTATGTATTGTATGTCTTTATAAGTATATCCATCAATGTTGTAAAATAAAATTAGAAAATAGAAGTAATAATAATGTGAAACTGAAATTGGAGTCTGACTTGAAATTCTCGTTTTTCAGGAACATCGTCCGAAAAGACTCCACAATTTCGTTCTCCAAATGTAGTCGCGCCCCCAGACGGTGATCCTATTCCACCATTTCTCGCGAAAACAGTACAGTCCACATCAGCGAGCAATGTCGGTGTCTCAGGAAACCAACAAGTAGTTAATCCCAGTGCATCGCCTAGGAGCAACTATAACGGCCCTTTCCCATTTACCAGTATGGCACACGCCGCCCAAGCCATACATAATCGTGAATTGCAGACCACAACAATTAAGAACACGATGCAGTTCAAGCATCATACGCAACCCCCGCCCCCTTATCCCACCCAGGAGAATTTGGCGACAGTTACGGCACTGACGACCGGTCACACGACGACTCAGCCGGTCGTTACCGTCGGACAATTGACAAATCAGTACAAGTCCACGATTGCTACAACATCTAGTCTGTCACCAAACAACAGTACCAATATAGCAGGGAGTTCGAACGGCGGTGGGAATCAAGTCGCCCTGTCCAGTCCGTTACTCGTGAATCTTTTGCAAAACGACGCCGGCTCACACGCAAATAATGTCGTATCTGGTCAGAAGATGTTACCACCAGCCGTTATCGACAGCTCCGGGCTTGCCAATCGCATGAGACCAACGAAGAAGCCCACGGTTAGAAGGAAAGATCTTCCATCGCCCGGCGAATCACCGCCAAACCATGGCGCCATGGATCCATTGAGAAACGACGATTTAATCGCTGGTACGCCGACGTCGATCATGTCCGACTTACCTCAGGCTCCCACTTCGTCG